TTTTGAATCCTTCTAATTTACTATTTAGATACAAGATTTAACTTTAAAGTAATTATATGTATCTCATGTTAAAAAATGTATTATAGGTATCTGTGATGCTGGTGCCGTTTTATCATTGAGCCGTATGCAGTCTAACCTATTTAATTTGCGTGTATGGATATATTATCCATTTACTTATGCACACTTATTATGGACATATACAGAATGTCATTGTACCTTATTATTAAAAAAAATACCCGTGAAGATCAGGGTTAGAATAGGCCTTCAACAACCCAGGCTTGTACGAAGGCAACGTAATCAGGTGGTCAGACTCGCTGACTTGGTGGATGCATGTCATTGTATCCCAATTTCGTAGATCGGTGCTCTTCATGTCAATAACTGGATTTTCTGGCCCAGACTGGATTATTTTTAAACCCCCGTCATATAGCTGGTATATTGCTGAGTGTGGCGTTTAACAACAAACAATCAAACAAAAACTATTATTAAACACCTTCCAACAATGAGAAATGAGAACTTTTATTTTCTGTATACTTAGTTTTATTTAAAAAACAATTTGATTCATAATTTAATCATTGCGTTGCTTTCTTGTCTGCTATTCAATGCAGCTGTTCAAACCCCTAAACTTTGAATATTTGATTTTTCACAAATGGTTATGTTAGTGAGTTCCCTCCATCTTTCGTTACCTACTCACACAAACAGACTAAAATTATTTGTTTTTACTATAATATTTCAACTAATTTAATTCATAATACGAAATTAATAATTTATTTATCACAGTATAGATCTTATTCGTTTATATCACTATCTGATGTTAAGGTTTTTGTGCAGACATTATTATTCAGAATGTAGACAGATACACAATTTGCCATTATTTGAAATGCAATAACTTGTAAACTATACAAAGTATAATATAATGATAGCATGCCTGTAACGGACAGTGTTTAAGAAAGAAATATTGGTCGATTAGTCCCATTTTTCAGATGTGCCCTTCAGCAGTATAATTGTATATCTCCAGATAGATGTTTACATTGTAGTTCTCATTATTTGTGGATAATTAAAAAAGCAACACAGAAAATATATATTCCACCATGACGAAAGAATACAGAGTATACAATAACTTGCAATTGTTCCAAAAGAGATTTCAAATCACAATAACATATCTGATATAAACAGAGGTTGTAATGCTTTAATCTCTACATTATGCCCTTGTTCTATTCTATTATATTCAGCAAACAGCCCAAACCCGAAACTCCACACTATTTCCGATTACACTGACCCAGGCTGGCCCCACCTGGATTCTCCCAAACGTCAGTTCTCCATGCGATACTGACACCCTTGTACGTCTCCCAGACAATATAGAATAAATTTAAAAGGAATCCAGCTCAAGTCTAGAACGATTTGGCAAGCCTAGATTGCCTCAATTCTATCCATGGAAGTAATCATTAATAAAACAATATTGTTCTTTGCTCCTTTAGATTATATTTTGTAGATACATATTTTTAAGTACGAAAATTTTACTTACAACGGTACTGTCCCTGTTGAAGCTATTTATAGCTCAAATAAGAATTTCGAATTATATCGTCCATTTTTCGATGTCAATACATCAATGACAAGTGAGGATATCATATAGTAAGCGTTGATGACACACTACTCTATAATAAACATTATAATCAAGTTGACTAGTATGTACATTACCACAGTGAACATGTACCTGATCATGCCCTTTGTAATATCAAATACTATTATGTTGTTGTTTGATGAATTGAACTGGATCACTGATGACATGTGATATTAATATTCCATTAATTTCTTTCCTGGTTGGTCTATCCATGTCTACAAAATAAAAATAATAAAATTAAAAAGGAGAAAAGAACAATTCTTAATTTCAGGCTAGAGCTGTGGAAATCTAGACCTTCCCAATCATTGTAGCCTTGCGTTGGTCTCATTTTTTTATTTATTCTCTTGGGTCTACGTCACAGCTCGTATCACACAATAACAAGACCAGTTTGCCACCTGCCGGAGCTCCTGGATTTTGGTTATATCATCCAACATGGCCAACTCTGCTCTTAAGTAAACAAGAACCTAATCAGTGAGGGGTCCTTTATCATCCCTATTTGACTGCTTATAAGAATCTTATATGTCTCCACACGGCTGGTTAATATATATTTTTGCGGATGAATATTCAAAACAGAGTGATTGAGTTGGTACTACCACGGACCTACGCAACGCAAAGCACGTGCGTGCGTGTGAATGTGTGTGAATGTAGGCCTGTTGTATACTACATAAAACATTCATCTTGAGTGGGATGGTAGTTCGAGTTGGATAAGCATGTTAACTATGACCTTCTTAAGGTAGAGAATGCCGCACATGAATGTTTTAATGAGATTCCCAGGTACATGGGGCCTTTTCGACACCAGGAATATCCACAGAGGAGACTTAAATGGGGATTGGGTGAACACAATTTGCTACTACCTGGTAGGTTGTGTGTCATCAAACAGGACAACTTTGGTCTTTGACTGATCGTGGCGTAAATCACACTTATTTATTTACTTGGATCGGAAATCAAATGTTCATCATAATTGTTATTGATGAACACGTAATATATTTTAAAAGAAATAAAACTGTGACATAATAACTACAACTCTGTGTGAGCACGAGCAGCTCAATTGGAATGAGTGAGTGCTATAAAGCTGTAAGCTTCTTCACAGCCGTGTAACAATGAATTGACTTTACTGGGTAATCCAAAAAGATATAGTGACCTAAAATAGGCAAATATCATACGATATGTGTGTGTGGGGGGGTATGATTTAGGTAGAAAATGAGGATCCACGATGTTCGACCTGGTAGAAGTATGTAATCAAACCTCACAGCATTGGTCTTTTACTGACTGTGGCGTCAAAACAAACTCATTTACTTGAACTGAATGTTCATCTTAATTGTTATGTATAGTCACGGAGCAGTGATCCAAAGAACAGGGTGTCATTAGATAAAAATAATAAAGTAATAATAGTATTACCATGACACCCAAGCCAAAAGCTTCGCTCAGGAACACCAGAGTAAGTCAGTACAAGATTGAAAACTGCCCCATAATTATGTATGACAGGCTAGCCGGGTATAACATGTATATGTGAAAACATAATGAAGAGCAAAACTGATGAAAGTTACCAATAAACGTGTATAAGTGTTATATCGTCACTGCAAAATAATGAGTATTTGTCTTTAGTATTAACATTCAAATACGGTCCACCGCTCCAACGATGTGTAAGCATTAGCCTTACTATCTCGTAGTATAAATATTGCAAGAAATTATATTTCTGAAGACATCAGGATACAGTTTTTACGATGCATCACGTCTGCGCTAGCGCTTGATAAAAGCCTTGTGTTTGGGTGTTTCAGTACTTGAAATTGCTGCTCTTGATATTGTTGATTAAACTTTGATACTATGAACAATATAAGGTTATATGTGAATATGACTTTAGAATAGTTGCATGCGTTAATGTATATCTGATATATATATATAGGATGACATAAATTTAGAACAGTGAGTAGTACGTCCAGATTAGTGTATAGGCAATATTTAATAATTAAATTCAACTACTCCCCTTTTAAGTCTTTATTCCTGACTTAAAAGGAAATGCAAGAACACAATCGTCCGGAATACAATGTATAATTTTAGTCAACTTCCATATGGCTATATAGCATACAATAAGCTTTCGGGTCCCGTTTGGATCGGTTTGGGTGGCAGCCCAGATAGCCATAGAATAGGTTCATCTCGGAATCTCCCATATCACTGGGACTCCTCTTCAATTAAAATGGAGTTACTTGTTTCTTTCAAAACTATACAGTTACAGAGACTAAGCATTAATCTGAACGGACTTCACCAGTTTGGAATTTGAAACTAATCTGTTTACAGTGACAGGACACTGCTTAAGTGTCATGTACGAAGGGGGAAGGGGAATCCCGTCATATAGGCGGACGAACCTTGAAACTATTTACACACATTAAAATAAGCAATATCGGAAAGATGTATATGCATATACACCAAGATCACCTTCTACAAAAATAAGTTTTAAAAGCCGGTTGATATTCGTTTGCGTATTTGACGATTTTTTAACTTGCGAAAGTTTTAATCCTTTTCCTATATTTAGACGTTCAAGAGCCTTGCGCTTTCCTGATTATTTTGACTAAAATTATTACCTTTCTCATTGTATTAGTTAATGGTAAATGCGTACCGATCAAGTACGTGCCATAAATTTAAGCGACATTGTACGATTCCGAACTTATCACGAGACTGTTTATGAATCATGGTCAAATAGTGTTGACATTAAACCTAGGAAACAATACGCACAGTCGCGCATGCACAGAACGGAAAATTTGGAGGAGCTTGATGATATCGTTCTCTCCCAGTAAATCCCGATGTCAAATAACGACGTTATTTGGACGGAAAAACGATGGTTTGAAAAAGTCCAAATAACGTCGTTTTTTCCGTCCAATGACCATATACGGAAAAAAACGGCGTTTTCGTGTTTGCAGTGTGTGTTCCCTAGCATGTATATATATACATGTACTTTACAAAAGAAGTCACTCTGTAACTTTGAACGTTGTGAACAATTGCGACCATGGGTTATTACCAGAGGCAAAATATGTGTTTCCCGGTATCTTCTGGAACGATTATTGTTACATAAAAGCAACAAAATCTTTGCCACGCACTCAGGAAATAGTGCGATTCTGACTAAATCATGAGCAAGTGTTAAGATATCTAATTAGCCTTGACATGTGACAGTGGTTTTCAGCACACCATCCACCAGTATCTTCAGTTTTCGGGAAATCACTTAATTGTGTCCATAAATTCAATTAACTGCAAGGAAATCGTATTGACATCTAGGTTTCAGTTGAAAGCATATAATGTGCACTTTTTATAAATCACAAAAGAGTTTAAGAACCTAGAATTGGATACTATCTATGCACTTATCTCTCAGAGTTGCCTTGTACCTTTTCAGATTAAACCCAACTAAACCATGGCGAACAATACGGAAGACGTCACTGATGCAGGGATTCCTATGACAGAGTTTCAGCCGCGAGGAAGTGATAGAAGTGACACTCCACAACACAGAGGGTCCTGGAGCAGCCACCTGGACTACATGCTGACCATGGTGGGGTACAGCGTGGGGTTTGGGAACCTGCTCAGGTTCCCATACCTCTGCAACAGGAACGGTGGAGGTAGATAAAAGCAAGAAAACCCTTTCACATTTATAAACAAAATATCTGCCAAGAGCAGATTCGATTGTACGATTACGACTAGATTATGAGCATGTGTTTATGAATAGCTATCAAATAGTGAAGACACTAGGTGTTGGCGAAAAGGTGAGCGTGTCCTGCCCCACCGGTGGCACCTGAAACCTGTGATATCAAGACATGTATGGAGGTCAACACAACAAACTTCGTAATATTTTCTCTACACTTTAGCTTTAATTCAGTTTAATTTATTACTTCTTGATAGGTGTTTCCTCAAGTTGTAATAAAGAAATGCTCACTTGAGCTGAAATTAATTAACATTCTTTTTCTGTTTGTCATTTTCTTTTAAATCGATTTTTTTCAAATGAAGGTGTGAGTGAGAGAATTGCACTTTTTTACCTCGAGCAGTGTTTCAATGACATCATGGTTTGTCAGCCTAATGTAAAAGGATAGCTCAACGTGATGCAAGAAATTATCAGACCCTCAACATCTGGTATAGTATTCCTAAACAAAGATTATTCTCAGGGCGAGTCTTGAAGTGCAGATCATGTGGTTCTTTAGACCACCCTTGCTCTAAATCTTTGTAGAATGTTAAATGTTTCGACAATGTGTTTTGTGCGTACATGAAACCATAATTTCGAAACTTTAGAATTTTGTTCCTTCTGAATACCATCTACATTTTCTTTCAGGAGCTTTTTTGATCCCGTTCATCCTTTTTCTTCTCGTTACTGGGTTTCCGATGTTGTTCCTCGAGTCCTCAATGTCCCAGTTTTCGGGAAAGGCTGTCAAGCATGTGTGGAGCTTTAGTCCAATGTTCAAAGGTCAGTGTGTGCTAAATGTGTGACACTTAGATTCATGACAGATTTAGAAATCAATTGTTGCATGATGTCACGTAGATATTTGGGCCCGATTCCTACATCTCTGACTCATTCTCCATCTGTGAAACTGCACCTCAACAAACAGGGCAGCAGCGTCCTGTGAACATTGTGAAATAATTTGTTAAAATGACATCGTGTCACATACACACCATAAGCTTTTTAGAATAAAATAAGAATAGGTTTAATTTGTTTTATGTATATAGTATTGGTAGGGTTTTCCGAACTAAAAAAGTATGTGAGCAGTAAACATACTATTAGTCAAACGATTATGTCATGGTCTGGTAAAGTTATATAGTTGTCTGTGCTGCTTTCAGTGTAGAACGACTTCCATTCGTGGAACTTGTCAATACTTCCCTTTTTTTAAAACTCTATTTTTGGAAATGGCCATACAGTCAAGTCTCGTTAATCCGACACTCGTTAATCCGACACTCGGCTTTATCCGACACAAATGATGGGAACCGATTGATTCAGTGCTATTTAGTCCCGTTAATCCGACATTCTCGCACTCCGACTCCGACACACCTAATTTGCAACGAATTGCCGAAATCACTCATTAATCAGTCTCGTAAATCCGACACAGTGATCAGCGTACTCCGTGGTCATCTGACCGCGAGTACACAACCCCGTGTTTTGACACGCACTGGCTGCAGAGATTAACTTAACAATTAACAGGAAAAGCTATTCAAACCTGTATGTACAAAGCTATACAAATGTAGTTTACAAATTGAAGCCAGATAAATGTGCATGAAGCCAGTTTAAAATACGAACAGGTATATAACACATGGACGACTCACCATTGGTGTCACATTTACACGGACGGATCCTCAGATCCGACCTCCAAACACACAGGTTTCGGAGTCCATACCACACAACCAACTAAAACCACACGATCCTTCCGACTCCCAAACAACCAATCAATATTCACGGCAGAACTAATGGGCATGGCCTCAGCCCTCCATAATCAAGAATCCAAAAAACACAAAAATATCCTAATACTTACCGACTCCCTAAGTGGACTGCAAGCCCTCCAAAACAAAAATACCAAAAACCGACCTAAATTAATAAATCAAATACTTAAAAGCTCCAACGACCTAACTAAGGCAGGCAAACAAATAACCTTCTTGTGGATACCCGCCCACGTAGGAATATACGGTAACGAAAACGCCGATAAAGCAGCTAAACTATCCCTCAAAATCCCAGAAATAAGCTTAAACTTACCCATCTCAAAATCAGAAATTAAAAGTGTAAACAAGCAAAAACTCACAAAAAAATGGCATAACCTATATCTAAACTCAAATAGCCAAATCAAAAAAGTGCTCAGCAAACCACTAACCAAACCCAAAATTCTCCATCCATCGAAAAAAATCGACAGAGTAATCACTAAACTCCAAACAGGACACACCAACCTAAATAACCACCTAAAAAAATTTTAAAAACACACTACAGGTAACTGCCCACACTGCAAACAACCAGAAACCACAGAACACGCACTCATCCACTGCACACACTACCTAACACATCGAACCGCATTACAAACCACCCTCAATCTAAAAAAGGCTCTAACTCTAGAAGCAATACTAAACCCACAAAATAAACTAGAAAACTTCAAGGCCTTAGGCGTATTCTTAATAAAAACGGAACTAATAAAACGCATCTAAAAACACAATAACCTACCAAATCAAAATCACATAAACAAACAAACATCCACCATACCCAGCTCCCTTAGTTCTCCTCCCAAATCCCATCGGCATCTATTCCAAATCTCAAAATTCCCAAATTCTATATAAGCAACCCCTAAAACCCCCCTCTTGGGTTGCACAGACCACCTTCGCCCCTTTCGGAAACACATCAAATGGCCTGGCCGGGCCCGTGTGCGAAATACGCATCAGTCGGAAAGCGCACGTTAAATCTCCAAAGTAAGTAAGTAAGTAAGTACCATGGTCGACTGGTATTTCTCCTCCAGATACAGGGTGATACCATCATTCAAATTGTGATTTGTCCTCAAAACATGACATCAAATCTACATGACGTCATCCAAACAAATGACGGCATCTAACAGTGGGTTGCTAAATCTGCAATGACTGGTATATTAGACACCAACAATGTAGAAATAGTACTATTCTTTCTTATTAATGTGATGTTTTGAATATGTAGCTCTTTATGGCCAAAACAGCATTAAACTTACAAGCAAGTTACAAAAATGATAACATGGTTACACTTACTGACAAATAGCGATTATTAACCGAGTGTCTTTCCATATCTTAAATACCATATGTCAGGAATCCAACTTGTATAACGTGAGCCTGTGGTGTGAATAATATGTTTTTGGTTAATACATGATATCTACAACACGGAGACCCACGAGGATAATTCTCTCTATATCACATGGTGACATTCTTGAATTAATTAATGAATAACATCTATTGTTACTTCAAAGACCCATGGAGATCCGGGGTAGAATAGGTCTTCAGCAACCAATGCTTGTCGTAAAAGGCGATAAAGCTTGTCGTAAAAGGCGACTAACGGGATCGGGTGTTAAGGGTCGCTTACTTGGTTTGATGCATATCATCGCTTTCCACTTGCGTGGATCGAATTATTTATAGCTGGAATATTGCTGATTGCGGCGTTAAACAACAAACAAACAAACTGCAATGAAACCGCATATGAATAAAGGTTTTAGTGAACCGCCCCATTTTATCATATGGTGCCAAATGATTTACAGCCATGTTTGTCTACAGAGACACCCACATATACGGAAACACCTATCTTAACGTATTGGGAATATCACAAATTGCGTCAATGTGTGGAGCTAAAAAGTATAAAAAGTATTTTTTTCCAGGTGATCTCATTTGAATATTCAATGCCTCTGTGATGTAGTAAATAGAGCGTCTGCCTGGTGAGTTGTTTGATGCCCAGTCGCGTCATATCAAAACACATCAAAAGATTGAATATTGTTACCCTGCCCGATGCTCGGCATGAACAGATTAAAACAAGGACAGGTGAGGTGAGGTGAAATTGGGTTTAACGTCGCGTCCAAGATTATTGCACTTATACAGCGACGTGCATGCACGTGTGTGTGTGTGTGAGTGGCTGTTTGTACTAGTCCGGACTGATGCCGATTTATAGTGCTAGCTCACTGAGATACCATGCTGCAGTTTAACATGAATACCCCACTCAGACACAGTATACTGACTCCGAGCCGACCAGTCCTTGTTTTAGCCCCTTAATGCCGAGCGCCAGACAGGGTAACAACAAGTACCATCTTTTAACGTCTTTTGGTGTGACGCGGCCGGGGATCGAACCCCGGACCTTCCGCTCTCCGGGCGGACGCTCTACCACTAGACCACGGAGGCGGTCAAAAAACAAGGACAGGTCGACATGGGAGTCAGTATCCTGTATCTGAGTATGTCATGTGCGACCTTGACACAATGTCGCCTCACCTCACCACCTGCATCGGTATGAGGTCGTCATACCTAGTTTGTCAGATTGGTAAACATTATATGATGAACTGAGTGATTCACACGAACAGTCAGTATAAACTGTAGGCACTATGTGTGAAGACCATTTCTGGTGTACCACGCCGTGGTATGGCTTGAATATTGCTAAGCCCAGCATAAAACTTTCTCACGCACTCACTCAGAATAAACTGTGAGATATGCCCTCTCACTGGACATGCATTAGGACAAGTAGCCACATTCACACGTCAATATATACGTTGAACTCCATTTAACCTCACCTGACAAGGCAAATATTGACGGCAAAAAAATGCTTTGTACGCTTTTTGAATTTGGGAATATCCTAAAATTCGTAATGGTGAACAATCTCATCTCGAGAACCCTCATCTATAGCATGACCTCTAGCTCATGGTGGCAGGTTTGCAGTGTCCATTGGGATCATTATCATTATTAACCCTCACTACCATGTGACGTCATTGATAACGAGTAAACAATATAAATGTGTTGATTGTCTCTAAAACATTAACGTTTTCTTGCTATCAACAGGAATTGGCATTGGAACTTTATTGATAACATTCCTCTATACGACCTTTTACACCGTCTTCGTGGCCTGGCCCATCTACTACATGGTGAGGTCCTGCTCCAGCGTCCTGCCCTGGACAACGTGTGGCAACAGCTGGAACACCGACCTGTGTGTGGACGGTGTCAATTCTACCTTCAGCAGTAACATGACAGCCCTGGCAGGGAATACAACAAATACAATCATTGCAGTCGAGCTGTGGGAAAATGTGACCCTGGCTCACACACCTGCCGAGGAGTTTTGGCAGTAAGATTTCCACTTATATATACCAATGAAAACAATAACTGTGCTTCATTTAGATGGGTGTAACGGTTAAGTTATTGAAAATAACAACATTAGTTTTGGTCATTCGTCTTATCAATGTTGTATCATAAGAAATGTGGGGGCACGGGTGGCCCAGTCGTCTAAGGCGCCGCGATTCGCTGTGCAAGGCTGCGTCCCTTGGGCATGCCAGAAACCTATGATTGTGGGTTCGAATCCCGGTTCGCCCCGATTATGTTTCTAGATTTGTCAGCACCATACCCGTGCTCGTGGGTTTCACCGAAGTGGTAAACCTCTAAGACCTGCATCACTTCGGGCTTTCCTCCCACATTAAGCTGACACGCCGCGATATAACTGGAATACTGTTAAAAGCGGCGTTAAACCAAACTCACTCACTCACTCACAAGAAATGTGATGACAAAACGTGGTAACAGGAGACAGAGCGACACGCCCTAAACGAGAAGCGGTGTAACAACTCCGTTAACAATGTCAATATCGGGTGTGACCACCATTTGCGTTAATACAGGCGAGACAGCAGCGGCACATTAATGGGATTTCGCTGTTCCAAATGTCAACTAAAGATTGGCCCAACTGAGCTAGTGTTACTGGCTGGTTCTGGTCCTGTCAGAGGCGTTGGTCCATCTCATCCCGACATGTTCTGTGGAGCAGAAATCTGTAACAACAGCAATGTTACGCTGCCTCAAAAAATCTATTACAACACGTGCAACTTGCGGGCGGGCATTATCCTGCTGTAATGTGATGTTACGCCAATGTTTTTGCACAAAGGGTAGGACATGATCTCGAACGATTTCATCCCGGTAGCTTGTGCCATTCAAATTGACATTAACAGTGATGAGTTGTGATCTCCCATGAGTTGCGATGCTACTCCACACCATTGCATGTCCACCACCAAACACTGACACGTTCTCCTGGCATCTTCCCGAGGCCAGAGGGTTAACTGACTATAAAAGTCCAGTTTCCACCCTTGCCGAACTAGCCTGATATTATGGAGTTAGATTTTGGCTTGACTAACGAGTCCAATCAAAATTCGCGCACCGAAATCGAAATCCGGTTCGTAAACTGTCGTGCAGATTTCGATCGATTGCATGTACACCGCCAACTCGTTGTCACAAAATCTTTTCATGTTTTTAATCAAGGTGCTTACGTGATTTGATGCATTTCGCGATGTAAGACATGTTTTATCAAAATATATTGATTATCGATGAGATGGTGTTGGCTGGGCGCCACCACTTTGTGTGTAGCAAACGCAAGTGATGGAATCTGATTGGTCCATAGGAGAGGTTTAAAAGGGACGTAACTGGTAATAGCCACTGGTGGCGCTACGATCGAGCCCAGTAATTCCAGCCTAGTTCGGCAAGGGTCGAAACTGGACTTTTAAAGTCAGTTAACTCTCTTGCCTCGGGAAGATGTTCTCCTGGACGCCTGTAGACCTTTGCATGACCATCAGATATGTTCAGATGAAACCTGGACTCATCTGTGACCAGTGTACTGTCCTAGTCTTGTCTTCTGAGCCTCAGATGCTGTCTACACAAGGATATATAATACGTGAATTGTCTATCAATATTCCTTTGACAGACTTCCTGTGAATGGTATTGTTTGCCTTGCAGGTACAACGTTCTAAACATCTCCACCGGCTTGGAGGACGTTGGGTCTGTACAGTGGCACATTGTCGGATGTCTGTTTGCTGCATTTCTTGTAATATTTGTTTGTCTTATCCGTGGAGTCAAGTCTGCTGGCAAGGTATATCTAACCTGAATACGGTCGATCCCCATTGTTTCGAACTCCTCATTACATGAAAAATAGTTTGACATATACAGGGTTTGACACATCGGATTCGACGTTATTGCAATCAGACGACATATAATATCCCCATGTCACCTGTTTTCGAGCTTCACGTCTTTTCGAGCCCCAACAATACGTGATCACGCTTTTAATGACGTAATCAAGGTAGACGCTTCAAAGTCCACTGAAGACTTCAACGTGTTCGCCACTTTCCCCTGAAATTGTGTTATGAATTAAGCTGCCCAGGGTAAGATATTCAAAAAGCTATGAAAACATACCTCTTTTTTCACTAACGCACACAGGGGCGGTCGGGTAGCCTTGTGGTTAAAGCATTTGCTCGTCACGACGAGGACCCGGGGTCGATTCCGCACATGGGTACAATGTATGAAACCCATTTCTGGTGTCCGCCTCCGTGATATTGTCGGAATATTGCTAAGAGCGGCGTAAAATACAGAACAATCGCATTCACCGACGATTTATCGGCTGTTGTTTGTAAACTTCCTGTCTGTAATGTGACTGACCAAGTGTTATCTGAAATAAGTGTTCTCAAAGGTAAGACTTAATTTCAGTGTATTGGGATTGTTATTAGACCCGTAATCAGAAATACTTTTTCGGGGCTCAAACACCCATAACACGAGGATGTAATAAGCAATATAAACGGAAGCATTCGTCACCTCTATATGTTTGATCTGAATGCATGTTATTCATATCACTGGAATACCATGATATGATGTGATAATATTTTTTTAATTAGTTCAACAGGGTAAATTGGAAGTTATTTGTAACTCCTGAGACGATTAATTGAGTTCGAGAAAACCGGGAATTGACACATTTAGTTCGAGACATCCGGGTTTAGTAATGATAAACATTGTAAGCGTTTGCCCGGACCAGACTGTGAGTTTCGACAGATCCGTGTTTGAGACAACGGGGTTCGACTTAAATGACAAATGGAAAAATACATTGTATTCCTTTTGTTGTCATATACGTTCTGTATAACAAGGAAGGCTGAATGATGCCAGCTTCTTGACTTCAGGTTGTGTATGTGACGGCATTGCTGCCGTACATCCTTCTCATCGCAATCTTCATCAGGACACTGCTACAGCCAGGAGCTACAGACGGCCTTCTATACTACGTCGTACCGGATTTCCCCAAACTGCTTCAAATACAGGTGTGTTGCAAGTGTGGACACTTAGATTTGTTCATGCAAAGGAAAGTGAGCCGACGCTTCTTTTTTAAAATTGGTAACGTCCAATTTGAAATGTTTAAGCTTTTCCCCTTGAACCGATAGACCTAGCTTACACTTGAACCACAATGGAGCTCGTAACTTTCAAAAGGTGACATTTCTTTCTTAAAATTGAAATAATCATTTAGTTCTAACTTGCCTGTGCATCTCCTTCCCTGCGTTCCCAAGTGAATGGTAAACTGTGTGTTGATGACCACAACATCACTCATCATTGGTGACTGGACCCGTGAAGATCCGAGGTAGAATAGGTCTTCAGCAACCCATTCCTGTTGTGAAAGGTGACTGTGCTTGTCGTAAGAGGCGACTAACGGGATCGGGTGGTCAGGCTCGCTGACTTGTTTGATGCATGTCATCGTATCCCAATTGCGTGGATCGATGTTCATGATGTCAATCACTTGATTGTCTGGTCCAGACTCGATTATTTACAGACCGCCCTCACCACAAACAACAAAACAAACCCACATTGGTGGCGATGCTTACCTTGTCATTGTGCCTGTGAATATGACATAGATGCCGTGAAGGTGTAGGTTAGAACTGATCCCCAGCAACCTATGCCTGTTGTAAGAGACGACTATGCTTGTTGTAAGAGGCGCCTCACGGGAAATATATTCATGATGTCAGTCACTAGATTTTCTGGTCCAGACTCGCCTATTTAATACCACCGTCGTATAGTTGGAATCTTGCTGAGTGCGGTGGTAAACAACAAACAAACAAAATCTAGATTCAGTACTTTCATCATCCAGCAAATGGTATAACACAACAGTTGAAATACCCACAATACAAAAGGCAAAGGGGGTAGTAGGTTTATAAGAAAAGCAATTCAACGTTTCTTTGTGACTTAATAGCATTTCACATAAAATTCAGCTCACTCATTATGTATTGCTAAAACTATGCAGTTTTGATAATTTTAGGAAAATACTAAAAGAGTCAGCCATTATCGAAAAGTTCATTGCCACAAAAAACAATGGTCTATTACAATTTGAACGAAAATTGGAAAAAATCCTACACAAATTAAAACAATAATCATGCCCTGTACAATAATGCTATAGATCAGAAACGCCTCAACTAGCAACACTATCGTAAATGCTTATATCTGACTATCGGTACAACTTTTCATGCTTTTCTTGAAACATATCATGTGTATATGTATGTATGTATGTATGTATGTATGTATGTATGTATGTATGTATGTATGTGTAACGTATGATCACTACAATTGATTAAACCTACTGTACAACCTTGGAACCTGATGTACAACCCTTTGAAAGGAATACAAAATGTCAAACAAACAAACAAACAAAACAACCAACTCAGAATATTACCATTCATTTTATTTACGTTTAATTAAGGTGTGGCTGGAAGCGTCTCTACAGGTGTTCTACTCCCTGGGGCCGGGCTGGGGGATGATTAGCACCGCTGCGAGCTACAAAAAGTTCCATCAACCATGTCTCAGGTGAGCAGCAAGTAGGTTTTGTTTGTTGTCAAAGAATGTCTCTGTGATAGTTATATAGACACCTGTGCCATTTGCGACCACCATCAGAAACCTCAGAATGTGACTTTCCTTCATTCACTCAATGTATATTACTTCCCAGTCATCAACCCATACCAAACCTTTCACAATGATTGGTTTGGTTGGTTTGTTGTTTAACACCGCATTCAGCAATATTCCGGCTGCATGACGTTGGTCTGTAAATAATTGTGTCTGGACCACACTATCCAGTGATGACATCATGAGCAATGACCTACCCAATTGGGATACGATGACATGCTTCAACAAAGACAGCGAGCCTGAACACTTGATTCTGTTTGGTCGCCTCTGATAACAAGCATGGGTTGCGGAAGACCAACTCTAATCCAGATCTTCACGAGTCAGTAGCGCTTGTAGCTTGTAGCGAGTGAACTTTTATGTGTATATGTGAACGTTTAAAACATTGAAACTGCGTTTGTTTGGAATCCACACATTACTAATTAGAACGTCTCAAAAGGTACCATTAATTTCTTAACCCGGATTTTGTTATGAGGACAACCTGTATTACGAGATTTAGCTGTAAATTTGTGGACATAAGTATCGTTGGAAAACCTGAAGGCCACATTTTAGTCGCGTTCAAATTTGAAATGACAAATATGGGGCCGAGTGGAGGTACTCAATGGATACTTTACATTCACAGAGATTGCCTCATTCTGGCCCTAGTGTCTGAGGGAAGCAGTGTCGTTTCTGGCATGGTGACATTTTCCATTCTCGGCGTGATGTCACATAAAGTGGGTGTTCCCATTGCAAACGTGGTTTCGACGGGTATGTAAATAAAAGCGACAAAACCCTTTCCATATTCACGACTGTACGATTCCGGCTATATCACGAGCATGTGTTAATGGACCACCATCACATAGTGATGACAGCAGGTGTTCGCTAAAAGGTGTGCGTATCCTGCCCCTCCGGTGGTTCCCGCCAAAAACACATGCAACGGCATGGCACCATAATATCTTTTGAAAGCTCTGTCTGGAGCTGCAGGAATATTGCTTAAGCCTAGATGTTGCAATCACTTGCATAACGTCTTAATGATCATCATTTACCACTAGACAGAAAAAAACATTGGTAAGACATGTATTATATGGATGAATATGTTAGATGTTTCTGTTGAAGGTCCGGGTTTGGGATTTGTAACTTATCCTGAAGCTCTGGCTCAACTTCCACTTCCTCAGCTGTGGTCATTCGTCTTCTTTCTCATGTTGTTGATGGTTGGCTTGGATTCACAGGTACGTGAACACATTGTTCAGTCAGATGTTCATGTAACTTTCGTATTCAGCTTTTGATCTGTCATGTGTATTCACAGGCTCGCTGACTTCGTTGATGCATGTCATCGATCCCAATTGCGTGGATCGATGCTCATGCTAGTTAATCACTGGATTGTCTGGTCCAGACTCCATTATTTACAGACCGCCGTCATATAGCTGGAATATTGCTGAGTGCGGCGTTAAACAACAAACCAACCAACCAACAGGCCATTTATAGTGTCATAAGTGTAAGTTCCGTGCTATACTTGCTTGAGGCGTTGTTCTTTCTTGTTTTAAGCTTGTTTATTGTGGGATGTTAAATGCATGTGGTGTATTAATATCTTGGTGGATTCCTCTGAGGAAATGTCAGTTAAGCGCCTGCTTCAGATTTCCAAATAGGTCGAATGTACTATAATGGTATGACATCTGTTGACAACTTAGATTATAAATTCATATTCCACTGATGATGATGTAGAAAGGATCGTACAAAATATCTAAAGGGCATACAGTCACCACTGAACTCATACCTTATAGGTCACATCTGACCCCCTTTCTTCTAGTTCCTGAGTATGGAGGTGGTCGTCACTGCTCTGGTTGATGAGTATCCGCGACAGCTGGGAAAGCGGAGGTGGCTTGTAACAGGAGTGTGTTGCCTGATAGCTTTTCTTCTTGGAATCGTTTTCTGCACACAGGTGATTTTACAGTATGATTTATACAATTGGTGCGACAATGTACGGATACATAACATGGGGAATATTGCGAGACTTTTATCTTATCAGTGTAGTGCGAATGTTGGTATTGATCATTATACAAATAATTACTCTTCATGAGGTCATGATGCGAAAACGGCCGCCTCCGTGGTCTAATGGTAGAGCGTCCGCCCGGAGAGCGGAAGGTCCTGTGTTCGATCCCCCACCGTGTCATACCAAAAGACGTTAAAAGATGGTACTTGTTGTTACCCTGTCAGGCGCTCGGCATTAAGGGGCTAAAACAAGGACTGGTCGGCTCGGAGTCAGTATACTGAGTCTGAGTATTCATGTTAAACTGCGGTATGGCATCTCAGTGTGCTAGCATTATAAATCGGCATCAGTCCGGACTGGTACAAGCAGCCACACACACACACATACACGTGCATGCACGTCGCTATATAAGTGCAATACTCTTGAACGCGACGTTAAACCCCATTTCACCTCACCTCATCTGATGCGAAAACAGAGTCCCGAAGACCCTACCCCTGTGGTTGTCTGACGGGAGACAGGCTAAGGGTATTTGTGTTCACATTGTAATCTCTTCATTAGCAACCAATGGTTTTGTTATGACGAAATGCAGAAAAAGTGCATAATTATTTGTAGTTTATTGTCGAACCCTGCATTGCCACTTGCAGAGGGCACTATCATTACTAGCAGACAAAGTCGGTATTGAACATGAGAGGTCAATAGTGGACAATATGACGTACGTATCAGAAACGCACTTGATGTGGATTAACCTATGAAATTCAAATATTCAAACAATAACAATAGTAGTAGTAGTAGTAGTAGTAGTAGTAGTAGTAGAAGTAGCAGTGGTTGTAGTAGTAGTACTTGTAGCAGTAATAGTGGTAATAGAAATAATAGTAGTAACAGTGGTTGTAGTAGTAGTAGTAGTAGTAGTAGTAGTAGTAGTAGTAGTAGTAGTAGTAGTAGTGGTAGCAGTACTAGTAAAGCAGCAGTGACAGTAGCCATAGTAGTAGAAGTAATGGTAGTAGTAGTAGTAGTAGTAGCAGTACTAGTAAAGCAGAAGTAGCGGTATTAGTAGGAGAGGAGGAGTAGTATAAAGTGCAATTGTAGTTGCAAGTGTAGTTGTTATAGTATTAGCGGCAGTAGTAGTAGTTGGTGTAGTAGAAGTGTCAAGAATGGGTAGTAGTAGTAGTAGTAGTAGTAGTAGTAGTAGTAGTAGTAGTAGTAGTAGTAGTACCATTGTTAGTAGCAGCAGTTGTAGAAATATAATAGTAGTAGCAGCAGCAGTAGTAGTAGTAGTGGTAGTGGTAGTAGTAGTAGTAGTGCCACAATGTAGGTAGGAGGAGATGTCACGTTATCACTTGTCTGACCTTGTTGCAGGGAGGGCCGTACATGTTCCAGCTGTTAGACTGGTATTCAGCGTCCCTGGCTCCCATGGTGTTCTGCTTACTGGAGTGTGTTGCCGTGGGCTGGATATATGGTGTGTATACAGATGGCACTAAAAAATACGACCCTTGTGTGTCACGTCATGATCCATTGTCTGTTTGTTTTTTACGTCGCACCTGCATTTTTAAAGCTATATGATGACGACCTGTAAAGCGTCGAATCTGAACCTGACAATCCAGTGATTGAGATTGTTAGCGCCCTCGTCTCGTGGTACGATGGCACACACCCAACTAAGTCCTGGAACCTAACCATCGAAAGATTTGGTCGCTTCACGGCCAGCTTACTGTGATGGAGATCCAACCCGGACTCCAACCCCTGGGGGTGGGGGTGGGGGGTTGGCGTGGGGTGGGGGGGAATAATCCACTGAATTAAAGGCCGTGCGATTCCGACTTGATCATGAACACGTGATCATGAACACGTGTTTATGAATTACTGTCAAAAAGTGATGGTACAAGGTGTTCGCGAAAAGGTGAGAATATCCTGCTCCACCAATGGCACCCGTCACAAACACATGCAAAGGCAAGTCAGTTGTTCACCTGAATAAAACACGGGAACATCAAAATAGTTAATTACATCGGATATCATTTTTTGTCACTGATGCGTCATGTTTGGAAATGTCCACGTGGCTACCATAAAACGTTTTTAAAGCTTCACTGAGGCCTTGAATTTTAATCTTCAGACAAACAAAACCACCTCCGTCACCCGGTAAGAGAGATTGTATAGCCATATATGACAACTTGAAGGGATCTTGTTTTTATCAGGTATCAAACAAATGAGTAGGGACGTAGAGATGATGACTGGAAAAGCACTATCGCCACCACTAAAGATCCTCTTGGTATTCGTGACGCCAGCAACCTTGATGGTAAGTAATACAGTATGTAGGAGTCATGATTCATCTTTGAATTCATGTCAGGTGAGACTGATACCCATAATGCCATGCATAGACATTACTACAGTATGGCAGATACTACCAACCTGAAATATATGTTTTGAAGCGAGTTGTAAGATATATGATATATGACAAACACGATTTTGAAATCTGTTTCTTACACACACAAAAATCGAACCATTTTAGCATCGAATAGATGCTTATTTTGTCTACTTTCATGATCCACCTTGAGTGACGTCATCCAACTTCTGCTTACCAGTATCAAGGCTATGAAGATTAAATAACATTAAAAACACTACAAAACCAGAACGTTTTGACACAGACGTAGGTGAAATCGACTGAAACACCTCAGGAAATAAGGATGTCATAATCTGCCCATCATGGAGTAGCCAATCACGGGCCTAGAATTCGATCTCACGTATATGTTTGATACAAGTTATCTCAAATGGGTTTTCATCCAAGGGTGTGTAAGAAGTTATCGTTCTCTCCTAATTTTGTTCCAAGAAAATTGTAAGATTATCTCTGTGTTCCATTTACAAATTATAATTGGTGAAATCTGCAGCATGCAAAGTTATGATCATGTTGGGTTTATACTTTACAGTATTAACAAATATTACATTTCAATATGAAAACATCAACTACATTTTAAGGTTGTATTCTGAACAATGTCACAATTACACCTTTGTCAAAAGAAATGTGTCCTCGATGTTGTGTCAGGTTGCTTTCATCTTCACCCTCCTCCGCTACCAACCACCGACCTACGGCAAGTACGAGTTTCCCAGCTACGCCAGTAAAATCGGCTGGTTCCTTGCAGTGCTGCCCCTCCTACCCATACCTGTCTATATGGTCATTGCTGTCAGGAAGCACATGGCGACCAATTCCCTGAAGAAGGTAACAAGCGTCGTCTCTTCTGAGACTTTTTTAAAACTTTTGCCGATATATTGATGCACCATCAATCCCCTGTTTCACAGCCACGTTCATAGACCACAGGGATTCGTAGTTGCACGGAAATTAATAACCCATATATCGCACCAGGCGGAAGAACACGAACATTTGCCTTAATTCGGTTTGCTTAATGTGTATGTTTGCAACAACATACACATTCCACGGATTCTTGAAAATACCACCAAAAGTACCCATTTCGACAAACGCACAAAAACTGAAAAACAATTCTTAAGAAGGGTAAACACAACTTGTCTTGCTTGTCAAAGGTATAAGGATCTATACCGAAACGTCGTTTTTACAGTATTAAAGAAGTTGTTATCCATAAAATTGTGTCTTCCTTGTTATCCGTCAACTTCTAAGTATGCCTATGAAACAATGTAATCCTTAAGAACTTTCCGAATTAAATATAAATAGTGAGATCTAATGTCGAAAGAAAACAAAGGGTCATTGATGGATTTACTACCTCAATTTCACATATCACAAGGTGGTCAATCTGTTCATCACTATAACTCCTACCTAAAATTGAGAACGAATCTGACATCCGAGGCGTTGGTGTACTCTTGCATGCAGTCATGATGTGAGTGTCATTTTGTTCCATCTGCAGAGTGTCCATCTTGCCATGAGTCCTGACGATGACTGGGGTCCAGCGGAGGCCGGATACAGGGAGGAGTACATGGCGAATAAGGCAAATAGACCTACCCTCAAGCCTCACATCATGGATATATTCAAAAAGTGAAACAACATGAACACTCTGACCCATACAGTGAAATCCTAGGCCCGTTGATATAGACCGTGACCTGCATACGACTACTGTTTACAACGTCTGGAGAACCAGTGGGATGTTACTATGTACATATTCGTTAATCCAGACATGTGTTAATCTTATTTCTTAAGCAATGGGATCAGTTGGATTAATGAGGTTGTGTTTGTTTTGTAATAATAGAGGGATGGTGTTGCATCCTAGTGGTTAAAGCTTTCGCTCGTCGCTCAACTCCCGGGTTTGATTCCCCATATGCCTTGTGTCCACCACGGTAATATTGCTGGAATGTTTCTAAAAGCAACCTACACCCTCACTCAAGTAAATCGAACGGCATGAATGATTTAAGCTATGTAGTGATACTCCATTCATTCGGTACCCGGGCTATAAAAACATCTGTGTATGATTAAAAGGGATGTTACGACATACAAGTAATTCATTTACCCAGTTCATAACTGGTTAATTGCATCTCGTTCTCGAGAGACTAGACACGCACTGGCACACTCAATGAAACGTGTAGCACTGATGATATGTCATCAAATTTCTAATTTGACGCGTATTTATTATAAGATTGCACACATAGGTTGTTACAATATTCACTGACAACGCTGTAACAACAAACATCCACCAATCGCAACTAAGTTTACTGCACTGTGTAGTTGTTAACAGAGACAAGAGCAAATAAAACATAAAATCGATGATACACTAATTCATGATCATGGCTAATCTTTCAGACTAGGATTTGCTGTTTCATTTGTTGGACCGTGCAACATATATCTCATTGTACAGATTTGTAACAGCTTTGGGATCCCGTACCCAAGAGGAATGTACATGGTTTGGGCAGGTTTCTTTCTCAGTTACAATACTGGCCTATTTCGTGGCGTTATTCATCACTGATAAAAAGTTACTTGATCAAACAATTAATGTAGAGACGCTTACATATGATGGTCATAGTTTTTGTCAATGCGAGAAACTACAAACTTTTCATGTTAAGCAGGGGGCACGGGTGGCCCAGTCGTCTAAGGCGCCGCGATTCGCTGTGCAGAGTTGCGTCCCTTGGACACGCCAGAAACCTATGATTGTGGGTTCGAATCCCGGTTCGCCCCAATTATGTTTCTAGGTTTGTCAGCACCATACCCGTGCTCGTGGGTTTCACCGAAGTGGTAAACGTCTGAGACCTGCATCACTTCGGGCTTTCCTCCCACATCAAGCTGACACGCCGCGATATAACTGGAATACTGTTAAAAGCGGCGTTAAACCCAACTCACTCACTCACTCATGTTAAGCAGCCAGACTTTGGATGACTGATGGCCGGAACAGAATGGGTCTATTCCAATTCTGTTTCCTCTTTTTCTATTCGTGCTTTCTTATACTCTCCAGTCGATGTTGTGGGGTCTTACTGTTTGTAGATACATCATGGGATGCTGGAAACATACTCAATACATATACCTTTTTGTTATTACATCCACACGGCATTGCTGTACGCTAGCGGTATGCAATCCATTTTTTTTCTATGGACATCATATTAGGTCGACTGCTTTTCATGATATTGTCGGAATTGTACAATCGACTCTACTTTAGGCAGAGATTTAGGCACATGAAAGGATTTTGTCGCGTTTATTTAAGGCCATTATGTAGTTGGTATTTTTTTCTGATATCCTAACTCACGCAAAGGATTTAAGATATAAAATAAACACAAATGCAAACATTCCTATTTATGTCGGATCTATGCCAACTCGTTTTGATAATTTATGTTGTCTCTTCAGTCCACAAAGGATACATTCAATGCGATAGATAACGTTTTCAGTTTAACATGAGATGTATTCCAAAGGTTTTAAGCGGTTTTAAAAAGTTAGATGTATATTCAGGATCAGTTAACACAATATGACAAGTTTTGCAATTTTCTGCGCCACATGACGAAATACTTCATGGATATGTATCCTGGAGAAAACCGCCATCCAACTTTCCTGGCTTTTTTTGATAATTTTATCAAATGAGTTGCTTCATGTTGCACAAAGGCCGAGATCCTTATATTCTGAAGGACCACCAGATGAAGTTTTACTGTCTCCGCCGAAACTGTCTTCTTTGTCAACATTTATAGTAAATGCTACTACATTGGTGATATGGCTAGAGGTCAAAGGGTCGAGGGGGTAGCCAAAAGGTTAAAGCGTTCGCTTTTCACGCCGAAGACCCGGGTTCGATTCCCGACATGTGAAGCCCATTTCTGGTGTCCCCCGCCCAGATATTGCTGGAATATTGCTAAAACGACCATAGTCACTCACTCTAGGGGTCAAAATGACCACCCGCAGACAAATAGACTGTATCATACTCGGCGATCCATGAGTGTGCGATAGTGTTCAAACTGGGCTATGCATGTCAGGGCGTGAACAAAGTGAACAATGTGATTCAGTGGGAACCTTCCTTTTACACGCGTTGCATGTGGTCTAGTGTTCTTGTGTTCAACAATAACAATATTATAAATAAAATTGGTCTACCTGGTACATTACTTGAAATTGAAAATAGGGCTGTTCGATCAACTGGCTCCGCTTATGTGTTTAAAATGAATCAAATGAAGCCTTTCAGTCGTCATTTAAGAGCAGGAAGGTCTGACTTTAAAATACTCCATTTTCATTTTGCCATTGAATCGAAGATATATTACATAGTCAGAGATATATAACGCAAATGCATGATAAATATTTATACTTCCATGACAACGGGTTGCACGAATATCAAGGGGTTGCACGAATATCGACAGATAACACGAACATCATCGGATTATATGAACAACAACAGATAACATGAACATCCACGGATAACACGAACATCAACGGATAACACAAACATCAACAGATAACACGAACATCAACGGATAACACGAACATCAACGGATAACACGAACATCAATGGATAAGACAAACATCAACGGATAACACGAACATCAACGGATAACACGAACATCAAGGGGTAACACGAACATCCACGGATAACACGAACATCAACGGATAACACGAACATTTAGGGGTAACACGAACATCCACGGATAACACGAACATCCACGGATAACACGAACATCCACGGATAAAACAAACATCAGCGGATAACACGAACATCAACGGATAACACGAACAGCAAAGGATAACACGAACATCAACAGATAACACGAACATCAACGGATAACACGAACATCAACAGATAACACGAACATCAACGGATAACACGAACATCAAAGGGTTACACGAACATCAAAGAGTTACACGAACATCAAGGTACATCCGAAAGAGTTTCTTTTTGATGCGACGACATTGTTACGTTCATGGCCAATAACGGTTTTTCTCTTGTACTGACATTTTGTATTTTGATAAAAATTTAGTAATGGAAAATGTCAGCGAAGTGTAAAGTGGATGACACTGGCCCACTATGAGAGGCAAATTTGTGGGAAGAGAATAAAATGGATCTAACACAAACAATTTTTTATTTACATGTTTGCCCCAGTTTGCAGCGTTTCCGCATTTTTTCTGTAGATATATTTCGTTGATAAAACATTCATACACACGTATATTTTAATTCACGCCTCATTGATAGGTGCTTCAGTTATATCATGGCGTGTTACTGTACATGGGAGGGAAACCCAAAGAGGTGCAAGTGATGGACGTTTACCACTTTGATGAAACAAACGCACACCTGTATAGTGCTGACAATTCTACGATTACAATCAAGGTTGGTTGGTTGGTTGGTTTGTTGTTTAACGCCACACTCAGCAGTATTCCAGCTACATGACGGCGATCTGTAAATAATCGAGTCTGGACCAGACAATCCAGTGATATCATGAGCATCGATCCACGCAATTGGAATCGACGTCATGCATCAACCAAGTCAGCGAGCCTGACCACCCGATCCCGTTAGTCGCCTTTTACGACAAGCATAGTCACGTTTTACGGCAAGCGTGAGTTGCTGAAGACCTATTCTACCCCGGAATCTCAAGGTTAATCTGGGACACGACCCCACGATCATCAGGGCGGTTGGGTGGCCTTATGGATTAAGACGAAAACCCGAGGTTTTTTCCCACATGGGAGCACATGTAAGGCGTACTCTTGATGTCAACCGCCGTGTATGTGTTGGAATATTGAGTGGTGTTCATAAACTCGTTCAGGGGACCATAGCACGCATTGGTCACCTGCGGTCACTGGTAGAATTAAGATTTGGATCTCCGGGCCTTGACGAGTAGGACGATGAATGCGATGACTCTGTAGATGACCAGAAGGGCACACAACATGCCCACGTCGAAGAACACGTTGTCCTGCAAAATGGGAGACAAATTGTCAGTTTGTTTTTGTTTGTTTGCCGTTAAACACCGCATCAGCAATGTTTCAGGTATATGGCGGCGGACTGTGAATAACTGAGTTTGGACCAGACAATCCAGTGATTGACATAATGAGCATCGATCCACGCAAGTGGGATACGATGACATTTATCGACCAAGTCATCCAGCCTGACCTCCCGATCTCCCTTACGACAAGCATATATAGGTTGTGGAAACACAATTCTAGTGAGTGAGTGGGTGAGTTGGGTTTAACGCCGCTTTTAACAGTATTCCAGTTATATCGCGGCGTGTCAGCTTGATGTGGGAGGAAAGCCCAAAGTGATGCAGGTCTCAGACGTTTATCACTTCGGTGAAACCCACGAGCACGGGTATGGTGCTGACAAACCTAGAAACATAATCGGGGCGAACTGGGATTCGAACCCACAATCATAGGTTTCTGGCGTGCCCAAGGGACGCAACTCTGCACAGCGAATCGCGGCGCCTTAGACGACTGGGCCACCCGTGCCCCCGAAACACAATTCTAACCCGTGTGAGCGACTGAGTGAGTGGGTGAATGAATGAGTGGGTGAGTGAGTTATACGCAACATTCAACGTTATTCCAACAACATCAGGTTGACCTTTAAACATCAAATCTGCCCCTGTCAATCCAGTGGTTGACAGTCTGAGCAGAGTGCCGCAGCCGGTTGTACAATGAATCACAATGAGACATATCACAGACTGTAACATACAGATACTCATTACACGCCTCTGACAACGGTCACTGTGTAATATGTGTAGAGGCAGTGATTGGTGTCAACTGAAACATTTCTGAAGTCTGAAAATATATATTAATGTCTCAATAATAGTCCTAATTTAATATGTTGGAATGTGTCATACTTTGCAATGAAGTTGTTTCACATGTCTTTACCGTGGTGTAGGTATTCAAGTACCCCTTTACCTTGCCGAAATTGATACAGTCAAACACATTTTAACCTCGAGGTGAGATAGTCAGGTACGTCCTTACCTCCGTGAAGCTGAGATAGTCAAGCACGTCCTAACGTCCGTGACACGTCCTTACCTCCGTGAAGCTGAGATAGCCAAGCACGTCCTTACCTCCATGAAGCTGAGATAGTCAAGCACATCAATACCTCCGTGAAGCTGAGATAGTCAAGCACGTCCTTACCTCCGTGAAACTTAGATAGTCAAGCATGTCCTAACCTCCGTGAAACTGAGATAGTCAAGCACATCCATACCTCCGTGAAGCTGAGATAGTCAAGCACGTCCTAACCTCCGTGAAACTGAGATAGTCAAGCATGGCCTTACCTCCGTGAAGCTGAGATGCTGAGATAGTCAAGCATGTCCTTACCTCCGTGAAGCTGAGATAGTCAATTACGTCCTTACCTCCGTGAAACTGAGATAGTCAAGCACATCCATACCTCCGTGAAGCTGAGATAGTGAAGCACGTCCTAACCTCCGTGAAACTGAGATAGTCAAGCATGTCCTAACCTCCGTGAAACTGAGATAGTCAAGCACATCCATACCTCCGTGAAGCTGAGATAGTCAAGCATGTTCTTACCTCCGTCAAGCTGTGATAGTCAAGCACGTCCTTACCTCCGTGAAGCTGAGATAGTCAAGCACGTCCTAACCTCCGTGAAACTGAGATAGTCAAGTACGTCCTAACCTCCGTGAAACTGAGATAGCCAAGCATGTCCTTACCTCCGTGAAACTGAGATAGTCAAGCACGTCCTTACCTCCGTGAAGCTGAGATGGTCAATCATGTCCTTACCTCCGTGAAACTGAGATAGTCAAGCACATCCGTACCTCCGTGAAGCTGAGATAGTCAAGCATGTCCTAACCTCCGTGAAACTGAGATAGTCAAGCATGTCCTTACCTCCGTGAAGCTGAGATAGTCAAGCATGTCCTAACCTCCGTGAAACTGAGATAGTCAAGCACATCCATACCTCCGTGAAGCTGAGATAGTGAAGCACGTCCTAACCTCCGTGAAACTGAGATAGTCAAGCACGTCCTAACCTCCGTGAAACTGAGATAGTGAAGCACGTCCTAACCTCCGTGAAACTGAGATAGTCAAGCACGTCCTAACCTCCGTGAAACTGAGATAGTCAAGTACGTCCTAACCTCCGTGAAACTGAGATAGTCAAGCACGTCCTAACCTCCGTGAAACTGAGATAGTCAAGTACGTCCTTACCTCCGTGAAGCTGAGATATTCAAGCACGTCTTCACCATCCTTGTAACACTCCTCAGTGGGGTCAGTGTTGTTCATGGTGGCATTGCCATCGGGACAGTCTGTGACCAAATTACAAAATATATATTATGTGTTTGTTTAACGTCACACAGCAATATTCCAGCTATATGTCATCGGCCTGTAAATAACGAGCCTTGACCAGACAATCCAGTCATCGATCTTGTGAGCCGTGGGTGTACGAACCACAAAACGTTCGCAGCTCTACGACATTCGTAAGCCTTTGACAAACCATAGAGTTACGATAGATCCTAACGCAACGAAGGCTTTATGGAATTATTTGGCCGCTTCTTACGACCACCATAGATTGCTGGGTACCTGCTTTGACTCGGAACCTCCTGCGGGTTGAAAAAAACAGAATAACTGCAATGATCACATGTAAACAACCCGAATGCCTAAAACTTCCGCAACAAACCATTATTGATCCTTGAATTAAAATAATTACCTTCTGCTAGTTTGCAACGTAAGCATTTTGATACCGAAAATTGCTGATTGGTTAAGTACCTATGTTATGGACGTACTGCCATTGGTTGACAGACAGGACCTCATTTGCATATTGAAACCATGAGATGTATTTCAGCCAGATGAAATACACAGGGACGGATCTGAAATGGATTGAAAATGGTTGACCTTTTACACAGTGAACCGTTTGTAAAGATTTATCAGAAGAAAGTGAAAAGTGTGTTCTTGAAAGATATGGATATTTATAGTGGTAATTTGTACTTTGAAGTAATAATTGATACATGTAATGATAATAAAGCATTTTTTTTTATTTGAACAATGTTGTACTTTGAGCCTACCCATTGTTTAAGTTTGCCATTGTTGGAATACTTCTATTTTTACAACACTGTTAAAACGTACCTGTTGATCGAAGCCACTTAACAGTTACATATAGTCATTTTTCACCCGTTGTTGATACTGTGTCATTGTTAGAACTGTGTCATTGTAAGGACTTACCCGTTGCTTGTAGTGTGTCATTGTTAGGACTTACCCATTGTTAGAACTGTGTCATTGTGAGGACTTACCCGTTCTTAGTACTGTGTCATTATTGGGACTTACCCGTTGTTAGTAGTGTGTCATTGTTAGGACTTACCCATTGTTAGAACTGTGTCATTGTTAGGACTTACCCGTTGTTGGTACTGTGTCATAATTAGGACCTACCCATTGTTAGAACTGTGTTATTGTTAGGACTTACCCATTGTTAGGACTGACCCATTGTTAGGACTTACCCGTTGTTAGTACTGTGTGATTGTTAGGTTAGGACTTACCCGTTGTCAGTACTGTGTGATTGTTAGGTTAGGACTTACCCGTTGTTAGAACTGTGTCATTGTTAGGAATTACCCGTTGTTAGAACTGTGTCATTGTTAGGACTTACCCGTTGTTAGTAGTGTGTCATTACTAGGACTTACCCATTGTTAGAACTGTGTCATTGTGAGGACTTACCCGTTCTTATTACTGTGTGATTGTTGGGACTTACCCGTTGTTAGTAGTGTGTCATTGTTAGGACTTACCCATTGTTAGAACTGTGTCATTGTTAGGACTTACCCGTTGTTGGTACTGTGTCATAATTAGGACCTACCCGTTGTTAGAACTGTGTCATTGTTAGGAATTACCCGTTGTTAGAACTGTGTCATTGTTAGGACTTACCCGTTGTTAGTAGTGTGTCATTACTAGGACTTACCCATTGTTAGAACTGTGTCATTGTGAGGACTTACCCGTTCTTATTACTGTGTGATTGTTGGGACTTACCCGTTGTTAGTAGTGTGTCATTGTTAGGACTTACCCATTGTTAGAACTGTGTCATTGTTAGGACTTACCCATTTTTAGTACTGTGTCATTGTAAGGAATTACCCGTTGTTGGTACTGTGTGATTGTTAGGACTTACCCGTTGTTAGTACTGTGTGATTGTTAGGTAAGAACTTACCCGTTGTTAGTACTGTGTCATTGTTAGGACTTACCCGTTGTTAGAACTGTGTCATTGTTAGGAATTACCCGTTGTTAGCACTGTGTCATTGTTAGGACTTAACCGTTGTTGGTACTGTGTCATTGTTAGGACTTACTCGTTGTTAGAACTGTGTCATTGTTAGGACTTACCCGTTGTTAGAACTGTGTCATTGTTAGGACTTACCCGTTGTTAGAACTGTGTCATTGTTAGGACTTACCCGTTGTTGGTACTGTGTCATTGTTAGGACTTACCCGTTGTTGGTACTGTGTGATTGTTAGGACTTACCCGTTGTTAGTACTGTGTGATTGTTAGGTAAGAACTTACCCGTTGTTAGTAGTGTGTCATTGTTAGGACTTACCCATTGTTAGGACTTACCCATTGTTAGAACTGTGTCATTGTGAGGACTTACCCGTTCTTAGTACTGTGTCATTATTGGGGCTTACACGTTGTTAGTAGTGTGTCATTGTTAGGACTTACCCATTGTTAGAACTGTGTGATTGTTAGGGCTTACCCGTTGTTAGAACTGTGTCATTGTTAGGACTTACCCATTGTTAGAACAGTGTCATTGTTAGGACTTACCCATTGTTAGGACTTACCCATTGTTAGTACTGTGTGATTGTTAGGACTTACCCGTTGTTGGTACTGTGTGATTGTTAGGACTTACCCGTTGTTAGTACTGTGTGATTGTTAGGTTAGGACTTACCCGTTGTTAGTACTGTGTGATTGTTAGGTTAGGACTGACCCGTTGTTAGTACTGTGTGATTGTTAGGTTAGGACTTACCCGTTGTTAGTATTGTGTGATTGTTAGGTTAGGACTTACCCGTTGTTAGTACTGTGTGATTGTTAGGTTAGGACTTACCCGTTGTTAGTATTGTGTGATTGTTAGGTAAGGACTTACCCGTTGTTAGTACTGTGTGATTGTTAGGTTAGGACTTACCCGTTGTTAGTATTGTGTGATTGTTAGGTTAGGACTTACCCGTTGTTAGTACTGTGTGATTGTTAGGTTAGGACTTACCCGTTGTTAGTATTGTGTGATTGTTAGGTAAGGACTTACCCGTTGTTAGTACTGTGTGATTGTTAGGTTAGGACTTACCCGTTGTTAGTACTGTGTGATTGTTAGGTTAGGACTTACCCGTTGTTAGAACTGTGTCATTGTTAGGACTTACCCGTTGTTAGCACTGTGTCATTGTTAGGACTTACCCGTTGTTAGAACTGTGTCATTGTTAGGACTTACCCGTTGTTAGAACTGTGTCATTGTGAGGACTTACCGATTGTCGGTACTAAGTTATTGACAGAACTTACCCTTTGTTGGTACTAAGTCATTGTTAGATCTTACCAATTGTTGGCACAAAGGTATTGTTAGAACTTACCCATTGTTGAGGAAGAGTCCACCAAACAACATGAAGGGGATGAGGAGGGGAGGGGTGACAGCCATGGCGACGTCCACTGACCCACACGCTGTCGATATCAGGTAGCCTGGAATACAGACAACCTTATTCTGCTGTAAGTTCCCGGGTCTTTAAGGCGAACATTTAAACTGCCTTTGCATGTGTTTGTGACGGGTGTCACCGATAGGCCAGGATACGCTCACCTTTTAGCAAACAGCTGTATCATCAGTGATTGGTAGTGATTTATAAACACATTCTCATTATATAGTCGGAATCGTACAATCGATTACCAGGAAAAACTATATAGTGTGTCTTTACATCAGGAAGATTTGCATTGTACCTTTGTACCAGACACAATATGTATTGTGTTCTTATACTAGTATCCAGGGAAACGTACATAAGTGGCAGCACTGCACATCCAGTGGTTGCCATGGTACCCGTTACCACAACATCTACAAGTGGCAGCACTACACATCCAGTGGTTGCCATGGTACCCGTTACCACAGCATCTACAAGTGGCAGCACTACACATCCAGTGGTTGACATGGTACCCGTTACCACAACAACTACAAGTGGCAGTGCCACACATCCAGTACCCGTTACCACAGCAACTACAAGTGGCAGCTCTACACAACTAGTGGTTGCCCTGCTACCCGTTACCACAGCATCTACAAGTGGCAGCACTACACATCCAGTGGTTGCCATGGCACCCGTTAGCACAACAACTACAAATGGCAGTACTCACGGCGAGGGGTGCCTTGGTACCCGATCTCACAGCAACTACAGCAACTACAAGTGGCAGTTGTACCCAGGGAATTCCATTGTTTCAACTCACCGAAGGAGATAGCAACGTTGGCTACGAGGATGATGACTCCACAACATATCAAAAACGTCACTGCATCGTTGTATAAACCTGCAAATGAGGAAGGAAGTTCTTAAATATGAGAAGCTAAAATTGTGCTCGGGTGGTCACAGTCTGAAGTATTCGAGTATAATAATTGTGTGGACACAAACCGACTGTGTGGTATTGTTCCGTGTTGTCAGGCAGTAATGGAGGTTAACAGGTCCGCAGCAATGTCTTACAGGTTTGTAGCTGAGGGTGGTTCAGTGTTGTACGGCTACTCCCTTTCCCGAGCAGGGTTGCGTCCCTTTGTCGTGCCAGAATCTGATGGTAGTGAGTTCGACCCGAAGGTTTACACTGGTAATGACCCTTGTGTTGTCAGCACATAGCCATGGACTTAACCAAGTGGTGAACGTGAACGGCCTGCGCCGCGTTTGACTTTTTTCTCACATTGTTACGTTGTGTTTCACTTACACACTCACTCCATTCACGGAACTTACCAATCATCCAGTACAGCACAAGGACAGACAGCCATGGCAGAAAGAAGAATGTTGGAAGCTGCAGTGAAAAATGGAGTTTACTTGTTTGTTGAAGACCTTATTATTGTAAATTCCGAATTAACGTGATAACAAATGCAGAAAAACGGTAAATCCCTTAAACTTTATATGTGATCTTACTGCTACATTTGTCATGCTCCGTTACAAAGCGATCTTACTGCTACGTCTTCCATGCTCCGTTACAAAGCGATCTTACCGCTACATCAGTCGTGCCCCGTTACAAAGCGATCTTACCGCTACATCAGTCGTGCCCCGTTACAAAGCGATCTTACCGCTACATCAGTCGTGCCCCGTTACAAAGCGATTTTACTGCTACGTCGTCCATGCTCCGTTACAAAGCGATTTTACCGCTACAACAGTCGTGCCCCGTTACAAAGCGATTTTACTGCTACGTCTGCCATGCTCCGTTACAAAGCGATCTTACCGCTACATCAGTCGTGCCCCGTTACAAAGCGATCTTACTGCTACGTCTGCCATGCTCCGTTACAAAGCGATTTTACCGCTACATCAGTCGTGCCCCGTTACAAAGCGATCTTACCGCTACATCAGTCGTGCCCCGTTACAAAGCGATTTTACCGCTACATCAGTCGTGCCCCGTCACTTCTTGTACTGGTTGACATTTGGGTAAGCATCAGTGCATGTACCTCGCCTGTGTTGTACTGAGTGCCATTTTACTCGTCCTATTGCACGTACCTCGGCTATGTTTTTCGCGAGGAAGTACACATCTACCCTGTAAAGTCCGCTGCCGTATTCTCGCAAGAAAATTGACATCTCTATCGGAAACGACTGAAACAAAAAAAAGTACACAGGCGTCAATAAGTATACTACAGATATAAATTACCCTCACCTCTCACTACTCTAGGATACCCCCACCTCTCTCCACTCTGGGATGCCCTCGCCTCTCTTCACACAAAGATAAACATCCTCTCTGTTCTCAAGGATACCCAACCTCTCTCTACTCTAGGATATCCATCCTCTCTCTACTCTGGGATACCCTCACCTCTCTCTACTCTACGATGCCCCAACCTCTCGCTACTCCAGGTGTTGCGCAGTCACGAATGTACGTCCTAACGCGACGACATCTCAAAACCAAAGTGTACTTAGTCAGATTTTCCTCGTTTTGCACGTGCCCGGGCAGCACGTGCCATGTCACACTTTTCCCTTTTCCCTGCGAAGCAAGATGCGTTCCAGCTATCTGTTCAAGCCTAACATGTCTTCAAACCACCAGGATAACCCCACCTCTCTTCTCTAGGATACCCTACTCACATTAACTACCGAAAACATGTTGGTGAAGGAGGCGTTTGTAATGAGGATGAAGAGCGCCCCGTTGATGTTCATGACGCCCTCTTGGTTGTATTCCTGATCCAAGTACACGAGGCCAAGAACGACGGATATTACCTGAAACAAAATTCACAGCAACAGCTTAGGCCCGTCTCAGTCAACTGACACAAAGTAAGTAGCAACCGCTTAGGTCGGTCTCAGTCAACTGACACAAAGTAAGTAGCAACCGCTTAGGTCGGTCCACAGCAACCACTAAGGCCAGACCCAGTAAACTGACACAAAGTCCACAGCAACCGCTAAGGCCAGCCTTAGTCAACTGAAACAAAGTCCACAACAACAGTATCGGCCAATCTGTCGGTCTCTGCCAACTGGAACGTCTAAATCGGGTTTATTTACATCAAATGTTCTGAAATATTTATACCCTATTAATGTTTTTATATATACACATGCACAAAAATTAAGCGCCACCCACCATATTTGTGAACTGTTACTTTTGGCACTTAATGATTACTATTATAACGAGATGTACGATTATTATAAGCCATATATGTGAACCTCATGTGATGCAAAAAGTTGTCCCAAAGCAAGTTTATCTTGTGTTCCAAAAGAATATGAGCAGAAAGGAATTTTACCGAAGACCAGAAATTGAAGGATTAGAAAACATTGAAAAACTTGTTTTGTCATGTAACTGTCATGATATCAGCAAACCATATCAGGTGTCACATAGACACCCTAGGGACTGCAGAGTCTATTGCAAGACCGAAACGTCAGTAACGTGTGTATGATCCACGGACATTGACCACAGCTTCAACCCTACGCCTCATACTCATTACAAGTCGTTGAATGCTTCTCTGAGGCAAACGGATCCATTCTTCATGAAGTGCGGCTTTAAATCCAGCGAGATTTTGAACTGGGGGACCACGATGTCTGATTCTCCGGCCAAGAATGTCCCAGATATGCTCTATCGGATTAAGATCCGGACTACAGGCCGGCCAAGGAAGAGTGGCAATAGCTTCTTGACGCAAATAAGCCAAAACTGCCCGAGATGTGTGTGGTCTAGCATTGTCCCCCATGTAAAGAGGTCTTGCCTGAAGAGGATGGTTGTCAAAATGAGGGACGACCACTGGACGAAGAACAGCATCTTGGTATTGTTTGCCATTCCGGTTTCCACGAATTGTCACCAGCGGAAGTTTGCAGCCGAAGGAAACACAACCCCATATCATGACAGACCCCCCGCCACATGCTAAGGTCATATGGATGTTCCTTTGTGCAAAACGAGTGTAACGTTGCCTCCAAACACATATTCGACCATCAACAGTTCGTAGCAGCATTCTACACTCGTCAGACCAATGGATCCTTCTCCATTTGGCCAAGTTCCATCGACTAGGGGCACGTCACCATATCAGACGATTCCGCATGTGCCTCTTGGTCAGTTGAGGACGTTTTACTGGTCTTCTGGCGTTATAACCAGCCGCTCTGAGGCGACGCCTTACGGTCATCGTCGAGGGTCTCTGATGGGTAATCCACTACACTCCTAAATCTGTTGAAGTGGCAAATGGATTTCGTCTGACTAACCTGAAAAGACGTCTATCCTCTCTGTTAGAGGTCTCTCTTGGCCTACCCGACCTATTGACATCATTGGTTTGACCATGTTTGACGATCAAACGAGTGATAACCTTGTGATGACGACCCATTTGTCTTGCAATGGCCCTGCATGACATGCCATCATTCTTCATGCCTATCACTTGCCATCTTTCAGCGTTCGTTAACTTTCTCCTCACCATGACTGATTTTCAACCTCTATTGGAAGGGGAATCTCACGCAGGAGCAAAATGCAACCACGTGTCTGAAACTTGAATTTCACTATTTATAGGGTAGGGGAACTGCAGCAACACGTAAAGCACGCTTTCCTTGTGGTATCTGAACAAATTTGGGTTCATGAAACTATGGAAGCCTAATTCAGTCATACATCATCATATTTCGTATTTCTGATTCCCACACGTGAAATCAAGAGACTATGAATATGGTGGCGCTTAACTTTTGAGCATGTGTATACATCGTTTTTTTAACACTTGTTGTTTTGTTTTTGTTTCAACTTGTATTTCATTTTCATTTGAATAAAAACGTAGCCTTATGTTGCTTGTTTCCAAAATAGCATGCTTTTGTTGTTAACTTTTCATTCTTCAATTTACATATTTGACAATATTTGTACTACATTGTATTTTCAACGTGAATATAATTTAAAGGCCAAGAAATCAAGAAAACGAGAACAGAAATCAAGAATGGCCTTATCTTGTTTAATTTCCATGAGGAATACTGTCTATTTATGGGTATTGGGACAAAATCCTTCTTTGGTTTAGGGAGCATCCTGTGTTCATAGTGTGGTAACTGCGTGGTATAACTAACCAAAGTCATCTACTGTTTAAACAAACGCGGATTTTTCTTGTGTCAAGATAAAGCATTGTGTCATTCTATGTAATGCGAAATGTTGTTGACGGAATACTGTAGTACTACTATGGGAACAATAAAATAAAAAAACACAAACAAAACATGAAGTCAATACATACATTTGTCGTTAACTGTCGGGGATTATGAATAATGGAATAGAATACATACATGTAAAGCACCCTGATTTTTCTTTTCTCTGACACTAGTTTTGTACGGTGTTATACCATCCAAATTATATTGTTTCTGACGTCATGGTGTTAAATAGGTAGTTGAATAGCTTTACGCAGCAATCACCATAAGAATCAGTAAATCATGTTTCCTATAATGCTTTTAGCGTAAAGATTAACCTTTTTTCAGGTGAAGGATTGACTTGCCTTTGTATGTATTTGTGACGGGTGCCCACGGTGGTGGAGGATACGCTCACCTTTTCGCGAACACCTGATATCATGACTATGTGATAGTGATTCATAAACACATGCTCATGATGTAGTCTGAATCGTACGATCGACTCTGCTTTATGCAGGGATTGCTATTCGATATCGAAAGGTTTTTGTTTTTGTATTTTATTTAACATGTGCCAGCAACGTGGACATGCCAAGATCCATGTGTCAGGTAGACAGTGGCCTGTCTGATACTTACCACAGTCTGCATCACCCGGACTCGGAACAAGACCACATCCCTGAATAGACTGATCCAGCTTCGCCACAGCACAACAGAAAACTGATTGAACCAAGATGTGTCATATCTGAAATACGATATGTGCACTTTTGGTCAGTTGTTTAGTGTGTTTATGTCAGGGAACACTAGTGAGTGAGTGAGTGAGTGAGTGAGTGAGTGGGCGGGCGGGCGGGTGAGTGAGTGAGTGAGTGAGTGAGTGAGTGAGTGAGTGAGTGAGTGAGTGAGTGAGTGAGTGAGTGAGTGAGTGAGTGGGATAATATAAATTGTCCAAGCAAGAGAATAATCAGTCAAGACTATCCTCCGAAACCGATAACACTTTCTTAGTAACGTACAAATTCTAGTATTTTGGGTTTGAGTCCCATCCAGGAATCGAACCCACAATCTTAAAGTCAGGCACCAAGTCGCAAGTACACAAAGTGGGCAATCTGGCCCACTCAGCCACCGAGGCTTCCACAAAATGGGAATCTAGATCATGTATTTTGTGTACTTCTCTGATGAGTGTGCAAGTCACAGGCACATGAGTACACTTGTGTGTATGTGAATACGTTCATTCTTGCGTTTCTTTGACCACAATGTTTGTTGTTTAAGGCATTATTCTGTAATAAAGGTAAATAATCACATCTTGTGATCCAGTGCTTTGCATGATCAGCGTCGGGTACGACGATGCAGTCAGCGAGCATCACAAGTTATTAGCCTCCTACAAGAAGCAAGGAAGCTGAGGACCTAGTCTCACACGGAATCCCACGAGGGCACACAACCAAGGGACTCCGTACATTCATGAGCGTTTCTCTTGTCAACTGCGTCACCGGGGGCCTCTGTTCTTACATCTAACGTCAACTTCAGAGAATCACCAGTCTCGTTTATCTACAGAAACAGTTTCCAAATGGCGTATAAGGCGTGATGCTCTTACCTGTCTTCGTTGTCGAACGCCTCCTCAAACTGTAACCAAGAAATATTTCATCATATTTATGCTGGGTTCATAAACGGCATTATATTTTTCTCAAGAAACTGGAATACAGTTTGTCGCTTTTAACTATCTCTCTGTACACAATCCAACCATCCATGTATCAATCCGTCCATTCCTACATGCTTTCCTCCTTACTGAAATGAAAGATTGTGACTGTAAAATGTTACGTAGACAAACCAGTGGTCGACAATGTGAACAACAAATTAAAGATTTACTGACACTACGTCATCACATTGTCACCATGACAACTGATGAGACAAACAATGGAGGTTCTGAGTGTAATGACTGGCTGTTCCGTTTTCAAGAATGTTTGTTCCTATTGTTCAAGTTTATTTATTCAATATTTTCGTTAAATTATTAATTCAATAATATATTCGTGATTAACATTTATATATTTGAACATCCTTATTTAATATTTGTGGCTTATATGTTTTCTTCAATTTTATGTCATGTTTTCATTTTTCGTCAAATTATTTTCACAACATACAGTCTCACTTACCACGACAGATGACGCTCGTCGCAGTGTCTGTGAAGTGTCCATGATGTCCGTGGACATAATGCGGGTCAGTTCACTGTCTCGGAAAGCGTCACACAAACTCTGAAGGACATAAACAATACAATAAGGTACTGCGATGCAGAGTTACATTGTGTACGTCCCTTTGGCGTCCCAATGGTTGTGGAATCGTCCTCAGTGTTTCTGGATTTGTTAGCAGCGTGACGCGTTTGTCCCCATGAACATGAAATCACTCAGGATTTGCCCCCACAACCCAGCTGGCACGTCATGGTAAAAATGGAAAACTGTTTAAAGTGGTGTTAAATCACTCACTCTATGTTAGCTTCAGCTGTGGGACCGCCTCCGTGGTCTAGTGGTAGAGCGTCCGCCCGGAGAGCGGAAGGTCCGGGTTTCGATCCCCGGCCGCGTCATACCAAAAGACGTTAAAAGATGGTACTTGTTGTTACCCTGTCTGGCGCTCGGCATTAAGGGGCTAAAACAAGGACTTGTCGGCTCGGAGTCAGTATACTGTGTCTGAGTGGCGTTTTCATGTTAAACTGCGGCATGGTATCTCAGTGAGCTAGCACTATAAATCGGCATCAGTCCGGAATAGTACAAGCAGCCACACACATACATACACGTGCATGCACGTCGCTATATAAGTGCAATAATCTTGGACGCGACGTTAAACCCCATTTCACCTCACCTCACCTTCAGCTGTGACGGGTTGATTGTCAAATAACCTCACAGTTTCAGTTTCATGTTGTTTAACGCCGCACTCAGCAATATCCCAGCTATATGACGGCGGTCTGTAAATAATCGAGTGTGGACCAGACAATCCAGTGATTGACATCTTCAGCATCGATCCACGCAATTAGGATACGATGACATGCCTGGCCACCCGATACCGTTAGTCGCCTCTTACGACAAGCATGGTCGCCTTTTACGGCAAGCATGGGTTGCTGCAGACCTATTCTATCCCGGATCTTGTCAGATAACACTTAATGATAACTAGTATGATCATTAAGTGTTATCATTCTAGTTATCATAACCTTATATGATCACCAACCAAGATTTTCCGAGGGCTAGTGAGTGTTTAACGCTGTTGTATTTCCTTAATATCATAGCTATATAAAATGTGAGTTGACAGTGTTAGGTGCGTACCACTTTGGTCAAACCAACGACCATGCGTATACTATTCCGAAAGCATACTACAACACTGGCTTTATGTGGAAATACAATAATCTGATTAGATAATATTGCCCTGAACAAAAGACAAATGTTTATATCCGGTAAAGATAAAAAAGCTGCCGTGGCATTTGAGTGTGCTACAAGGCAATCACACCCTCTCACTGAGGCAACGCCTTTGGCATAGACATGGCAAATGATGAAAATAGGAGACTAACCCTAACCCTAAACTTAACGCTAACCCTAACCCCAACCCTAACCCTAGCCCCAACTCTTACCCTAACCCTAACCCTAACCCTAACCCTAACCCTAACCCCAACTCTTACCCTAACCCCAACCCTAACCCTAACCCTAACCCCAACTCTTACCCTAACCCTAACCCTAAACCGGCCCCTAATCGACAGTTTTTACTTCACATGTATGCCTGACACCATCAACACAAACTGAACTGTTGTGTTACCTGCACTTTGTCGAAACTTTCCTGCTCCTTTCCGGGGACAATAGCAAGAGTCAGCACATAGAAGTCTGCAGGGTTGAAGTTCCTTGGACAGGGGAAACCTTGGCTGCAGGATGAGAATAAAGTGAGTGAGTGAGTGAGTGAGTGAGTGAGTGAGTGAGTGAGTGAGTGAGTGAGTGAGTGAGTGAGTGAGTGAGTGAGTGAGTGAGTGAGTGAGTGAGTGAGTGAGTGAGTGGGTGAGTGGGTGGGTGGGTGGGTGGGTGGGTGGGTGGGTGGGTGGGTGGGTGGGTGGGTGGAAGGGTGGGAAGGGTGGGTGGGTGAGTGAGTGAGTGAGTGAGTGAGTGAGTGAGTGAGTGAGTAGGAGAAGGATAGAGAGAAGGAGAAACAAGAGCAGTAACAAGGAGTGAGTTGTTTAATACCGCTTTAAACAGTATTCCAGATATATCACGGTGCGTCAGGTTAATGTGGGAGAAAAACACGAACAGATGCAGGCCTCGCCCTTTTGGCGAAACCCACGAACACGGGTATGGTGCTGACAAACCTAGAAACATAATAGGGGCGACCCAGGATTCGAACCCACGTTCATAGGTTTCTTGCGTCGCCAAGGGGACAACTTTTCACTGCGCATCAGTAACAAGAAAATACCAAAAATACAGATATGGATACAGATTAAATATGGAAACAATGATTATGTTAATTAGGAGATAAACATACTGTGTTTTCAATGTAGAGCTAGGTTACTTGTAGATTTAACCGCGCTAAATTGAATTTGGAACCGAACGCTGCTATGAATATTAGGCTTCCGCGGTGATGCGGCCGTCAAACCAGCTGTTTCAATCAGAGGGGGTTTATTGTGATTTAATAGCCTCTGATTGACCAATCAGAATCGAGTAAATTCAAAATTCATGGTAGAATACAAGTTTAACTTCTCATTGACAATATAACATGGATACAGTGAGTGTACATAAACATGCGGTGTGTCGGCCTATTACCTGGAAAACAGCTCAAAAGCATCTTGTGATGCCCCTATGAATGCTGTCCTGCCCTCGGCCAAAAGTAGAACCCTAAAACAAAGAGTAACAAATGTTATATTTGGGATAACACTTTCTTAGTAGAGTACAGATTCTCGTACCTTTTGGGGTTGAGTCCCGTCCGGGATTCGAACCCACACTGCCAGAGTGAGGCACCTAATTGCCAGCACACAAAGTCAGCGATCTCACCCAATCAGCCACCGAGGCTTCCACAAAAATGGAAGTCCGACAACTGGTGGTCTAGATCATGTACTTTGTATACCCCTCTGACAACAAAGGGGATAATACTGTGTAACTGTTACAGAAACCCGAAAAGAATAAGTCACGGACTCCATTATTGAAAGGTTTTTATTTACATAAAGTTGCAGTCGCACAACTACTTGGGGTCAACAAGCCACGAAGTTCAGGTCAAGTTCAGGTCAAGGTCAAGATGATTTCATAACCTGTATCAGTCAGGAAAGTAAACTCACATTTCACGATTTCAATTTCAGTCAAACATATTAATGTACATATGTCAACACTGAACATTGGGTGACGTTGTTGAAACATCAAACACCATGAATATACAACACGTCCCTAGTACTCGAGCAGTGAGAGGGGCGGCCGGGTAGCCGAGTGGTTAAAGCGTTCGCTCGTCACGCCGAAGACCCGGGTTCGATTCCCGACATGGGCACAGTGTGTGAAGTCTATTTCTGGTGTCCCCCCTCGTGATATTGCTGGAATATTACTAAAAGCGGCGTAAAACCATACTCACTCACTCGAGCAGTGAGCGGGTGCGTGAGTGAGTAGGTGCGGCTTTACGCCGCTTTTAGCAATATTCCAGTAATACCACGACGGGGGACACCAGAAATGGGCTTCACACATTGTATTCTGACCCAAGCCCCAATTCTGAATCGAGCTCCCAAAGGGACACGATCATGGCTTACTAGTGACCTGTTCTGAATCGAGCCCCAAAAGGACACGATCATGGCTTACTAGGGACCTGTTCTCAACTGAGCCCCCAAAGGGATACGATCAAGGCTTACTAGGGACCTGTTCTCAACTGAGCCCCCAAAGGGATACGATCAAGGTTTACTAGTGACCTGTTCTGAATCGAGTCCCCAAAGGGAACGATCATGGCTTACTAGGGACCTCTTCTGAATCGAGTCCCCAAAGGGACACGACCATAGCTTACTAGGGACCTGTTCTCAACTGAGCCACCAAAGGGATACGATCAAGGCTTACTAGGGACCTGTTCTCAACTGAGCCCCCAAAGGGATACGATCAAGGCTTACTAGGGACCTGTTCTGAATCGAGTCCCCAAAGGGACACGATCATGGCTTACTAGGGACCTGTTCTCAACTGAGCCCCCAAAGGGATACGATCAAGGCTTAATTACTAGGGACCTGTTCTGAATCGAGCCCCCAAAGGGACAAGATCACGGCTTACTAGGGACCTGTTCTGAACTGAGCCCCTAAAGGGACACGATCATGGCTTACTAGGGACCTGTTCTGAACTGAGCCCCTAAAGGGACACGATCACGGCTTACTAGGGACCTGTTCTGAACTGAGCCCCTAAAGGGACACGATCATGGCTTACTAGGGACCTGTTCTCAACTGAGCCCCTAAAGAGACACGATCATGGCTTACTAGGGACCTGTTCTCAACTGAGCCCCTAAAGGGACACGATCATGGCTTACTAGGGACCTGTTCTCAACTGAGACCCTAAAGAGACACGATCATGGCTTACTAGAGACCTGTTCTCAACTGAGCCCCTAAAGGGACACGATCATGGCTTACTAGGGACCTGTTCTCAACTGATTCCCTAAAGAGACACGATCATGGCTTACTAGGGACCTGTTCTCAACTGAGCCCCTAAAGGGACACGATCATGGCTTACTAGTGACCTGTTCTGAATCGAGCCCCTAAAGGAATACGATCATGGCTTACTAGGGACCTGTTCTGAATCGAGCCCCTAAAGGGACACGATCATGGCTTACTAGGGACCTGTTCTCAACTGAGCCCCCAAAGGGATACGATCAAGGTTTACTAGGGACCTTTTCTTAACTGAGCCACCAAAGGGATACGATCAAGGCTTACTAGTGACCTGTTCTGAATCGAGCTCCCAAAGGGACACGATCATGGCTTACTAGGGACCTGTTCTGAATCCAGCTCCCAAAGGGACACGATCATGGCTTACTAGGGACCTGTTCTGAATCGAGCCCCCAAAGGGACACGATCATGGCTTACTAGTGACCTGTTCTGAATCGAGCCCCTAAAGGAATACGATCATGGCTTACTAGTGACCTGTTCTGAATCGAATCCCCAAAGGGACACGGTCATGGCTTACTAGGGACCTGTTCTCAACTGAGCCCCAAAAGGGACACGACCATGGCTTACTAGGGACCTGTTCTCAACTGAGCCCCCAAAGGGATACAATCAAGGCTTACTAGTGACCTGTTCTCAACTGAGCCCCCAAAGGGACACGATCCTGGCTTACTAGGGACCTGTTCTCAACCGAGCCCCTAAATGGACACGATCATGGCTTACTAGGGACCTTTTCTCAACTGAGCCCCCAAAGGGATACGATCAAGGCTTACCAGTGACCTGTTCTCAACCGAGCCCTCAAAGGGACACAAGCATGGGGTGCTAGGGACATATCCTGAACCGAGTAGTTTTGCTCCTGGCCCTGACAGGGACACAAGGAAGCGGGGCTGGGTAGATGTTCCTAGTAGTGTTCCCAGGTTAACTCACTGGCTGAACATGGCGAAGACCTCCGACGATGGCTGATGGATAGTACACAGGATGGTTCTGCCCTTGGCCGCCATGCTCTGTAAGGTCTTCACAATGTTCTGTGCCATGAAGGAGTCCAGCCCCGACGTCGGCTCGTCACAGAACATCAGGGGCGGATTGGTCAGCACCTTCACGGCAGAAAGAGGCAGGATTTAGAGATACGTAAACTCGGCGACACTTATGATAGCGTGTGATAGTGAGATGGGGTTTAACGCCGCGTTCAAGATTATTGAACTTATATAGCGACGTATCATGGCAGTGGACCAAGTGCGCCTTCGCGGCAGAAAGAAGCAGGAACTAGAGACAATGGTAGAGTGAGGCAGTGAGATGGGGTTTAACCCCGCGTTCAAGATTATTGCACTTACATAGCGACCTATCATGACAGTGGACCAAGGATGGGCTTCACACATTGTAACTATGTGGCGAATAGAACACGGGCCTTCAGAGTGACGAGTCACAGATTGACTAACGGCGCTCTTTGAGGGTAGAGTGCAAATTATTTTGCAGAGTTGCGGTACTTTCCAGTGCCAGGATCCGATGCCGATGGTAAATACTCGAATCAAGTAAATTGTATAATCTCTCTCCCTCCTCTCTCTCTCTCTCTCTCTCTCTCTCTCTCTCTCTCTCTCTCTCTCTCTCTCTCTCTCTCTCTCTCTCTCTCTCTCTCTCTCTCTCTCTCTCTCTCTCTCTCTCTCTCACAGAAGGCGCCCAGTACACTATCTATAAGAAATATATATATATATAAATAACTGCGGCGCGTTCTGTTAGTGAGTTAGGGTTAGCGTAGCGCGGGCGGAGGCCTCAGACGCTTACCGCTTTTTCGAAACGAACACGGGTATGAAGCTAATAGATCATGACACTTCTCGGATATCAGTTATTGATATTAATATCGCCCGGGTTTACAACATGCAGGTACAACGAATTTCAATGAGTTGGAATACTTCCTTGTATATGTAGGTACAGGACCTACGTTATCTATTCATTGACAAACTTGGTTTTACCTCTGAAGCAAAGGACAGCCGCTTCATCTCGCCTCCAGAGATTCCCTTTGTCAGACCTGGCGTCCCAATCCTAGTCTCAGCGCACTTCGTCAGACCCATCTGCCAAATCACAACACTCTAAGTCAGACCCTTCTGCAAAATCACAACAATCAAGGTCAGACCCTTCTGCTAAATCACAACACTCAAGGTCAGACCCTTCTGCTAAATCACAACGCTCAAGGTCAGACCCTTCTGCTAAATCACAACACTCAAGGTCAGACCCTTCTGCTAAATCACAATAATCTAAGTCAGACCCTTCTGCTAAATCACAACACTCTAAGTCAGACCCTTCTGCAAAATCACAACACTCTAAGTCAGACCCTTCTGCTAAATCACAACACTCAAGGTCAGACCCTTCTGCTAAATCACAACACTCTAGGTCAGACCCTTCTGCTAAATCACAATAATCTAAGTCAGACCCTTCTGCTAAATCACAACAATCTAGGTCAGACCAATCTGCCAAATTACAAAACTCTAAGTCAGACCAATCAGCCAAATTACAAAAATCTAAGTCAGACCCTTCAGCCAAATCACAACGATCTAAGTCAGACCCTTCAGCTAAATCACAACAATCTAGGTCAGACCAATCCGCCAAATTACAGAAATCTAAGTCAGACCAATCTGCCATCACAACGATCACAACCATCTTGACCAGACCCATCTTGCCCACAGTGATACCCATCTGTCAGATCGTTACAATCTAAATCAAGCCCGTCATCCATCTGGTCACAGAACTCAGAGGTACGTCAGTTCCTCCTATTAAGGGATGGCACACATTACACAGGAACCCGCTCTCATTGTCTTGCTTCACCTACAACTTGCACCGACGAAACTCTTGTCGTATTTCCTAACGTTAAACCATTGAAAGGATGCTTTGTAAGCAGTACCGGTTGCCTGTAGAGGTGGTTAACTGTAAGAACAATACCTCGACGATCACCTCATCCACCCTCTGTAAGCGGGCCTTCCTCGACAGTCGCCTGTCCATCCTCAACAGAGCCTGGAACAGAAACCTTCATTTAGATACAAACGTAAAGATGAAAATACCTTTAGATTTGAAGCAGCTAACTTTATTTTTAACTCGAACGCGCGGAGACTATGCCTCTCCACTCCAATGGAGTTTTTTCGTTGTTGTTGTTGTTGTTTTTATGAGAGATGGTAATCATTGAAATTCATTTTTTGTCTAGAACCTTCGGCGATATTTTTATTCAAGGATCCAAGTGCTGAGCACAGATGCCTTGACAGTAACCTACCCTAACGCTAACACAAGACATAAGTGAGTGAGTGAGTGAGTGAATTTGGTTTTACGCCGCTTGTAGCAATATTCCAGCAATATCACGGCGGGGCACACCAGAAATGGGCTTCACACATTGTACCCATGTCGGGAATCGAACCCGGATCTTCGGCGTGACGAGCGAACGCTTTAACCAATAGGCTACCCGACCGCCCTCGAGATTAGTAAAGGGATACTTAATATTGTGTTCATGACACATTATTGGGTGTCGAACGGGGTCTATAAAAGCAACGATTTTTAGCCTAGCTTTTATGGACAATTATACAGTTGGACAGAGGCTACTTCGTCTTGATCTGCTGAGGGCGCACACAGACACGCACACACACACGCGCGCACACGAACAGACGCATACACAAGCGCGAACGCTCACGCACACTCACGCGAGTACGCACACGAACAGGCGCATATACACTCACACACGCACGCACACACACACACAAACACGCAAACACGCAAACACACCAACCTTGCACACCTTACTATCAGCGAGAAGTTGCTCAAAGCGGCGTTTAAACCCAATTCACACCTACCCTGAACGTGAGATGTTCCCTGACCGTGAGGGTCCCGATGAACATCTCATCTTGTTGAACATAGGCTGAGATGTTCTTGATGCCCTTTTCGACCTGTACACCATTGACCTTGACAGCTCCTTCCATGGTGTACTGGGCGATGTTCCTACACGCCAGTGCGTTCATCAGAGTCGACTTGCCGGCGCCACTGGGAAATAACAACTACAGCTATAGATTTATTTATGAAAGGCATCAACGTCAGCGAAACTGACTCGAAACAAAATCCGGTACAACCATCTATACTGTTAACCACCTCATTAAAACATGCAAATAGTCGATTATTACCCGATGTTAAGACAACGTGGAAGTCCTGCGGGTAAGGCGTTCACCCGGATTCGATGCCCCACTTGGGGACAATGGGGGAACCAGTTCTCTGGTGTCCCCGATCTGATACGTCTGGAATATCGCGTATGATATCACTCACTCACTCACTCACTCACTCACTCACTCACTCACTCACTCACTCACTCACTCACTCACTCACTCACTCACTCACTCACTCACTCACTCACTCACTCACCTTGCTCCAATAATGGCCAGCAAAGATCCAGGTTTCACCAGACCGGTCACTGGAACATAGAGCACAGTAATGTCACTGGAACATAGAGCACAGTAATGTCACTGGAACATAGAGCACGGTAATGTCACTAAAACATAGAGCACAGTAATGTCACTGGCATATAGAGCACAGTGATGTCAAAAGAACATAGAGCACAGTAATGTCACTGGAACATAGAGCACAGTAATGTCACTGGAACATAGAGCACAGTAATGTCACTGGCATATAGAGCACAGTGATGGCACTGGCATATAGAGCACAGTGATGTCACTGGAACATAGAGCACAGTAATGTCGCTGGCATATAGAGCACAGTAATGTCACTGGAACATAGAGCACAGTGATGTCACTGGCATATAGAGCACAGTAATGTCACTGGAACATAGAGCACAGTAATGTCACTGGCATATAGAGCACAGTGATGTCAAAAGAACATAGAGCACAGTAATGTCACTAAAACATAGAGCACAGTAATGTCACTGGAACATAGAGCACAGTAATGTCACTGGAACATAGAGCACAGTAATGTCACTGGAACATAGAGCACAGTAATGTCACTGGAACATAGAGCACAGTAATGTTACTGGAACATAGAGCACATTAATGTCATCGGAACATAGAGCACAGTGATGCCACTTGAACATAGAGCACAGTAATGTTACTGGAACATAGAGCACAGTAATGTTACTGGGACATAGAGCACAGTAATGTCACTGGAACATAGAGCACAGTAATGTCATCGGAACATAGAGCACAGTAATGTCATCCGAACATAGAGCACAGAAATGTCACTGGAACATAGAGCACAGTAATGTCACTGGAACATAGAGCACAGTAATGTCATCCGAACATAGAGCACAGTAATGTCACTAGAACATAGAGCACAGTGATGTCAATAGAACATAGAGCACGGTAATGTCACTGGAACATAGAGCACAGTATTGTCACTGGAACATAGAGCACAGTAATGTCATCCGAACATAGAGCACAGTAATGTCACTGGAACATAGAGCACAGTAATGTCATCGGAACATAGAGCACAGTGATGTCACTAGAACATAGAGCACAGAAATGTCACTGGAACATAGAGCACAGTAATGTCACTGGAACATAGAGCACAGTAATGTCACTGGAACATAGAGCACAGTAATGTCATCCGAACATAGAGCACAGTAATGTCACTGGAACATAGAGCACGGTAATGTCACTAAAACATAGAGCATAGTAATGTCACTGGCATATAGAGCACAGTAATGTCACTGGAACATAGAGCACAGTAATGTCACTGGAACATAGAGCACAGTAATGTCACTGGAACATAGAGCACAGTAATGTCACTGGCACATAGAGCACAGTAATGTCACTGGAACATAGAGCACAGTAATGTCACTGGAACATAGAGCACAGTAATGTCACTGGAACATAGAGCACAGTAATGTCACTGGCACATAGAGCACAGTAATGTCACTGGAACATAGAGCACAGTAATGTCATCCGAACATAGAGCACAGTAATGTCATCCGAACATAGAGCACAGTAATGTTACTGGAACATAGAGCACAGTAATGTCACTGGAACATAGAGCACAGTAATGCCACTAGAAGGTAAAACACCATACTGCCACACACTCTAAACCATACACATCCACCCTAACATACCTCTTAGCACCCAAGCACACATCCACACAGTGTTTCTCACCTCACTCCCAAACACACACCAACACAGGGACATTTTTACAACAGACCCTAACACACATAAACATAGGGCCCTTCTCACCACACACCCTAACACACACCAACACAGGGTCATTCTCACCACACACACTAACACACACCAACACGGGGTCATTCTCACCACACACCCTAACACACATAAACACAGGGTCCTTCTCTCCACACACCCTAACACACATAAACATAGGGCCCTTCTCACCACACACCCTAACACACACCAACACAGGGTCATTCTCACCACACACCCTAACACACACCAACACGGGGTCATCCTCACCACACACCCTAACACACATCACCTCCGGGTCCTTCTCACCATACAACCTAACACACATAAACATAGGGCCCTTCTCTCCACACACCCTAACATGCATCAACACAAGGTCCTTCTCACCACACACCCTAACACACACCAACACAGGGTCCTTCTCACCACACACCCTAACACACATCAACACAGGGTCCTTCTCACCACACACCCTAACACACACCAACACAGGGTCCTTCTCTCCACACACCCTAACACACACCAACACGGGGTCACTCTCACCACACACCCTAACACACACCAACACGGGGCCCTTCTCTCCACACACCCTAACACACACCAACACGGGGCCCTTCTCTCCACACACCCTAACACACACCAACACATGGTCATTCTCACCACACACCCCAAACACACATCAACACAGGGTCATCCTCACCACACACCCTAACACACACCAACACAGGATCCTTCTCGCTACACACCCTAACACACACAAACATAGGGCCCTTCTCTCCACACACCCTAACACACACCAACACAGGGTGTTTCTCACCACACACCCTAACACACACCAACACAGGGTCCTGGTCACTACACACCCTAACACACATAAACATAGGGCCCTTCTCTCCACACACCCTAACACACACCAACACAGGGTGTTTCTCACCACACACCCTAACACACACCAACACAGGGCCCTTCTCACCACACACCCTAACATACATCAACACAGGGTCCTTCTCACCACACACCCTAACACACACAAACATAGGGTCATTCTCACCACACACCCTAACACACACCAACACAGGGTCCTTCTCTCCACACACCCTAACACACACCAACACGGGGTCACTCTCACCACACACCCTAACACACACCAACACGGGGCCCTTCTCTCCACACACCCTAACACACACCAACACGGGGCCCTTCTCTCCACACACCCTAACACACACCAACACATGGTCATTCTCACCACACACCCCAAACACACATCAACACAGGGTCATCCTCACCACACACCCTAACACACACCAACACAGGGTCCTTCTCGCTACACACCCTAACACACATAAACATAGGGCCCTTCTCTCCACACACCCTAACACACACCAACACAGGGTGTTTCTCACCACACACCCTAACACACACCAACACAGGGTCCTGGTCACTACACACCCTAACACACATAAACATAGGGCCCTTCTCTCCACACACCCTAACACACACCAACACAGGGTGTTTCTCACCACACACCCTAACACACACCAACACAGGGCCCTTCTCACCACACACCCTAACATACATCAACACAGGGTCCTTCTCTCCACACACCCTAACACACACCAACACAGGGTCATTCACGACACACACCCTAAAGCACATCAACATAGGGCCCTTCTCACCACACACCCTAACACACACCAACATAGAGCCCTTCTCTCCACACACCCTAACATACATCAACACAAGGTCCTTCTCACCACACACCCTAACACACATCAACACGGGGTCATTCTCTCAACACACCCTAACACACACCAACACAGGGTCATTCTCACCACACACCCTAACACACACCAACACAGGGTCCTTCTCTCAACACACCCTAACACACACCAACACAGGGTCCTTCTCACTACACACTCTAACACACATCAACATAGGGCCCTTCTCACCACACACCCTAACACACACCAACACAAGGTCATTCTCACTACACACCCTAACACACACCAACACAGGGTCCTTCTCTCCACACACCCTAGCACACATCAACACGGGGTCCTTCTCACCACACACCCTAACACACACCAACAGAGGGTGTTTCTCACCACACACCCTAACACACATCAACACAGGGTCATTCCCACTACACACCCTAACACACATCAACACAGGGTCCTTCTCACCATCTTTGAGAATGTGCTTTAGCTCCACCTCTTGGCTTCTACGCCCACAGCACTTCTTGTTGTCTATCTTCACGTGGACGTTGATGTTCTCCCACGACAGACATACGGACTCGATGCCGTCACTGTAGCTCGTCCTCAAGTCGGAACATTTTTCATCGTAGGGGATGTATATGTCATTTTCCCTGACCTCCGAAGATCCGGTCAGTTGATGGTCAGTCTTCTTCTCGACTAGGGAGGTAGTGACGTTTACATACGTTGGAGATTTCCTGTCTGACTTTTTCTGAAGTAACGGGGCTTCCTCTGCGTCTGCCATTTCTTGTCCAAATCCTCAAGAGAAGCTCTGTAAAACAGGTCGTGTTTTATTAACAGTATCACAGATTTCAGTGTGCCCCTCTGATTAATTTGGAAGTATTTTTGTTTGCTTTGTTTGTTTGTTTGTTTAACGCCGCACTCAGCAATATTCCAGCTATATGACGGCGGTCTGGACCAGGCAATCAAGTGATTGACATCATGAGCATCGATCCACGCAATTGAGATCGATGACATGCATCAACCAAATCAGCGAGTCTGTCCACCCGATCCCGTTAGTCGCCTTTGACTGCAAGCATTGGTTGCTGAAGACCTATTCTACCCTGGATCTTCACGGGTCGATTTAGAATGAACGGGAGTGAGGTACCGTTGATTACGTGTGCATTTCAAAACGTATCTTACCAGCGGAAGCCTCGTGGTCCAAGGGGCGCTAATCATTTTGAACGCGAGGTTCAAGGTCCTTAGCAGACGCAGCGATGATTGTGGCGGTCTTTCGACATGTTTTGTTTATCAACGATTCCCCGAACCTTAATAATGCCACGATGGCTTCACTACTAGAATACAAAAGTGAGAGGCGGAAAACTCTCTTCCAACCTATTTGTTCGGGAGTCCTACCTTGGGTCCTTGGAAACTGCAAATACTCACGGACAATCATTCGAGTAGAATATATCAGTTATACAGTTTTGTTATGCATCCGTAGTGTCTATGCATCTCTGGTGTGTTGTGAAATATAGAAGTGTATGCAGGAGTGTTTTCACCCTCTGGGAGTAGTCAGACGTTGCAGAGAACAGACACACAGTGTTACCGACGGCATCAACCACCCACCCCCACCCCCACCCCCACCACCACCACCACCACCACCACCACCACCACACCCCACCCCACCCACCACCCTCACCCTCATTCCAAAACCACCAACCCACTCCTTCGAATGACAAGCCAAAACCACCAACCCACTCCTTCGAATGACAAGCTGATGCCACAAAAGACCCATTTGCACATGATCTTATTCAACGCTGTTGTCCAGTTGCCATGGTGTCCAACCAATTTACACTTGAATGTGTGTTCACGAAACCGGTACGCATGTCCTGCCCTACCAGCAACACCCGTCACATCATCTTTTATGATCGCCCTTAATATACCGGGAAACTACATACATTTCTGTATGACAGTGAATATACACATACCAAGGTATTATACACAACCATGCACACTTACTTGTACAAGTTGATCAATGATCAAGAGGTGATGTACACCACACCGACCAAACGCATGAAATGTAGATTGGCAAATAACTTATCTCAAGTATGAGACTGCACGCTGGTCTCGCTGACATCACAGTGCAGTCACGTGTCAGTGACGGGACTTTGCAGCATGCATTGGTCGTTATACTCCGAGGCCCGGTAAGGTTCAGAAAACCTGCCGTGTTTGATAACAAGTACAAATGGGTTATCAGACTATCAGGCATATAGCAGATACTTTATTGATATGTTTACATATTTTGGCTTCCAATTTCAAGGTTTTGATGCAGTGTTTCCGTTGTATATGTATCACTGTATCAGTTTTAATAATTACTTAATTATTATTTAAAGTGTATCAGCGTTGACTTCATAGTTGAAGTATCAGTAGTGGTAGCTGTGGTAGTGGGAGAGGTTTGTAGTGGTGGTAGTGTTGTGTTGTGGTAATGGTAGTAGTAGTTGTAATAGCAGTAGTAGTAGTAGTAGAAGTTGTAGTAGTATGGGTAGTAGTGGTAGTAGTAGTAGTAGTAGCAGTAGTAGTAGTAGTGGGAGTAGTAGTAGTAGTAGTAGAAGTAGTAGTAGTATGGGTAGTAGTGGTAGTAGTAGTAGTAGTAGTAGTAGTAGTAGTAGTAGTAGTAGTAGTAGTAGTAGTGGGATTAGTTGTAATAGTAGTCGTAGTAGTAGAAGTAGTAGTAGTATGGGTAGTAGTGGTAGTAGTAGTAGTAGTAGTAGTAGTAGTAGTAGTAGTAGTAGTAGTAGTAGTAGTAGTAGTAGTAGTAGTGGTAGTTGTTTAAGAGGTCGGAGATTATAACATTATCGTTTCTTGTCCGTAATGTATAATCTCGCTTTTAACAACCTCATGAGGGCTTCTGCATATTAAATCCGAGTCAACTGCCTACAGGGAATTATACCCTGTGTAATAACAGACGTCCCACAAACTGACCTGGAGATGAAGCTGCTACACTATGTCACTATATGGGACATCATACAGTCGTTACCCTGTCTGGCGCTCGACATTAAGGGGCTAAAACAAGGACTGGTCGGCTCGGAGTCAGTATACTGTGTCTGAGTGGGGTAATCATGTTAAACTGCGGCATGGTATCTCAGTGAGCTAGCACTATAAATCGGCATCAGTCCGGACTAGTACAAGCAGCCACACACACACACACACGTGCATGCACGTCGCTATATAAGGGCATTAATCTTGGACGCGACGTTAAACCCAATTTCACCTCACCTCACCTCATACAGTCGTAGTACATGTAGTGGTAGCAGGTGTCGTTGCAGTAGTTGTAGCGCTTCCACTGCAAAGATGTATGAGAAATTCTAATTGTTACAGAAGTAGTGGCATTAGTAGTAGTAGTAGTAGTAGTAGAAGTAGCAGTTGTAATAGTGAGGTGAAATTGGGTTTAACGTCGCGTCCAAGATTATTGCACTTATATAGCGACGTGCATGCACGTGTATGTGTGTGTGTGGCTGCTTGTACTAGTCCGGACTGATGCCGATTTATAGTGCTAGCTCACTGAGATACCATGCCGCAGTTTAACATGAATACCCCACTCAGACACAGTATACTGACTCCGAGCCGACCAGTCCTTGTTTTAGCCCCTTAATGCCGAGCGCCAGACAGGGTAACAACAAGTACAATCTTTTAACGTCTTTTTGTATGACGCGGCCCGGGATCGAACCCTGGACCTTCCGCTCTCCGGGCGGACGCTCTACCACAAGACCACGGAGGCGGTCAGCAGTTGTAATAGAAGTAGTAGTAGTATGGGTAGTAGTGGTAGTAGTAGTAGTAGTAGTAGTAGTAGTAGTAGTAGTAGTAGTGGGAGTAGTTGTAGTGGGAGTAGTTGTAATAGTAGTAGTAGTAGTAGAAGTAGTAGTGGGAGTAGTTGTAGTAGTAGCAGTTGTAATAGAAGTAGTAGTAGTATGGGTAGTAGTGGTAGTAGTAGTAGTAGTAGTAGTAACAGTAGTAGTAGAAGTAGTAGTAGTAGTAGACGTAGTAGTAGACGTTGTAGTAGTAGTAATAGTAGTAGTAGTAGTAGTAATGGTAGTGGTAGTGGTAGTAGTAGTAGCAGAAAGTTGTAGCAGTGGTAGTAGTGGAGGTGGCAGTAGTAGTAGTAGTAGTAGTAGTAGTAGCAGAAAGTAGTTGTAGTGGTAGTAGTGGCAGTAGTATAAGTACTAGTAGTAGTAGTAGTAGAAGTAGTAGTAGAAGTAGTAGTAGTAGTAGTAGTGGTGGTGGTAGTAGTAGTAGTAGTGGTGGTGGTGGTGGCAGTAGTAATTGTAATAGTAGAAGTAGTAGTAGTAGTAGTGTAGTAGTAGCAGAGAGTAGTAGTAGTAGTAGCAGTAGTAGTAGTAGTTGTAGTAGTAGTAGCAATAGTAGTAGTAGTAGCAGAAAGTAGTAGTTGTGGTAGTAGTTATGGTAGCAGTGGTAGTAGCCCGCATCGCCACGCCACGACCCGTCCTGCATCAGAATATTTCCTGATCTCCCCCAAAGTGCTGACACTGACGTATGCAAGTTGTCTGCTTCGTTGTGTTATGCTTCTCCGTGCTGGGCATCATGCTCTCCCCGTTAACCCGCATCATTATTACCCCGGTCAGTGTGCGCTCGATCTTGATTCTCAGCTCCCTGGGCAGTAGACACCCCATATTGCCTATAAGGCGCTAGAAGGTCAAAAGTCAACCTACCGGATACCCATTCACTGCTAGGAAAACATATTTTTAACAATGTCATTTGCTCAATGAGATAAACAGTATTTAACTACGACCGATAAATCTTCTTTATAATAATGCATTGAGACCCCTGATCATCCGGGGTAGAATAGGTCTTCAGCAACCCATGATTACCGTGAAAGGCGACTCTGCTTGTCGTAACGCGATCGACTAACGGGATCGGGTGGTCAGGCTCTCTGACTTGGTTGATGCATGGCATCGTATCCAAATTGCAGGGATCGATGCTCGTGATGTCGTTAAACATGGGTGAGGCGTTAAACAACAAATAAACAAACAAACATATAATGCATGGTTGTTCGACAAACGTCCATTTGGAGGCGTGATTGTAACGGAGTAGCCTCCCTTTACCTTTAGGGATCTTTCAAATTAATCGACAGAAGCGGGGAACACTCAGGCCCACTCGGCTAGCAACGTGACACCTGGAGCAATGAACTAATAGTGCTATTCGTGCACCGGCAGGTCACGCCGAATGAGCGTCGTGCGACATACTCGATCACAGTAGCTTTTAAAAAGGTAAGTTGGTGCATTAAAAAAAGGGATTAAGGTGAGGTAAAATGAGATTTTAAGTCATATCAAAATTTATTATTGCACTTATATATACGTAAATGCGCGTGTGTGGCTGCCTGTACTAGTCAGGCGTATTAGTGCCTGCCAAATGGGATCCCAAGCTGCAGTTTAACATGGATACCCCACTGTTTACTGACTCAAAGTCGGTGCTTGTTTTATCCTCCTAATGCCGACCGTCTTGCAGCGTAACAACAAGGACTTTCTTTAAACGTCTTTTGGTATAATGCTGCTACACCGACCTTCCGCTCTAGTCCATGAGCCAGACCCCAAAGGTTTATAAAGCGGTACCACCTGGGGTGGCAAAATCTCAGTATGATTTTTTGAAAGTCATATATCCATAGATGAATAAAAAATGTGAAAGCAATCCGGGACTCAGAGCTTCAGATATTTGTTTCGCGGTAGCCAGATCTAAGATCTGATTTTGATGGGATTGGATACAAGTCAAACAAGGGAATAGTATCAGACATCATTTTAGACACCAATGCGACAAATTTGGAAATGTCTATATGTCTACCATAAAACCTGTTGTAAGCTTTTATTAAACATGAATTGTCAATTAAAGCGAAGAACTAGTCTAGATTATCCGCCGAAACAGATTCCACGTGGCGTAAAGAGCAAAATAGATTTGAAAATTATATGAACTGACCACTGGAAATCAGCGATGACTCCAAGTGTTCGCGAAAAGCGTAAACATGTCCTGCCCTAGAGGTAGCACCCGCCATTCACACCCGCCAGTTTGCATCAAGAAGTACGTATTTAATGCCTGACGCAGCACACTATTACTCCTGCCGTGCGAGGGCAGCTGATAAACAAACCAGACAAAGAAGTGACCCATGAACCAGATAATCCAGTGACACGATGGTGTATTTACTGATATTGTTGAACTAATAAAAACGACACTTTTGTTTTGAATTACGTCTGCTGTGTACAAGTGCAGAAATTCTGCTGCTGAAAGTAATGAAAACGGTTTTCGAAATATATTCGCTTTTCAACACGGTTCGGGCCAGTTTGTATGTCTCGTACTGTGCAACGTCTCCTCCGTTCAAATGTTTATCCCACGGGAGCGAGAGACAGACGATAATTTTGACGGAATCAGTCGTACGGGCCGTAAGTATCGTTCGGAATACCCCGTTTTAACGTTTTCGAGATTGCATGATTAGAAAACACATTCCGACTGTCACTTTCATGATCTGGTAAGCGGCGCTTTGATTGGTCGGATGTAAGGTCGTTCTGACGTGACCCGTAATGGGATGTCCTCAGATCTTTGTTTAGCGGTAGCGAGAACTAAGATCTGATTTTAACGAGATTGGGTTCAAACATTTCTTTTGTTTATGACACAGCATAGATAAATGATGAAAGTCGGGGATTTCAGTCCTTCAGCAGAAACATCGACCCAGTTTAAGTAAACATAAATTGACAATGCACGAGAGAAACTACTAAGGCAGTAGATTTCGCTGTTAAGTTCAGTGACTTTAGTTCAACAAACGTAATCAGATTCGAAACCACGATCATAGGTCTGGCACGCCCAAGGGAGACAACTCTGCACATAGAGTTGCGGGCCTTAAACTACTGGGCCACCCGTCCCCTCCCATAAAAAAGTCAGAGATTTCATAATCCGGGTTTGTAAGTTAACACATAGTGATCCATGATGAGATACTTGTAGCACGGTAAACAGCGCCCTAACTCCACTGATCCGCTCTCGGATATTTGGCTTAAAACGTCCGTGCTGGTTGCTGGGGTACACATTTGATGAATCGATAAGGGTTCAAAGGTCAGACGCATGCTTAATGCAACAGAACGGAGCATGAAATATTCTCATATGTGTGTGTGTGTGTGTGTGTGTGTGTGTGTGTGTGTGTGTGTGTGTGTGTGTGTGTGTGTGTGTGTGTGTGTGTGTGTGTGTGTGTGTGTGTGTGTGTGTGTGTGTGTGTGTGTGGCTGTGGCTGTGGCTGTGGCTGTGTGAGAGTGTGTGTGTCAGTCTGTGTGAATACTACATGTTTATATACATTTATGTAAAATGTATAAATACCATAATTAGATCTACCTGTCTTTTATTATGTCGTGAATATTGAATTTGAATCACTTAAATTCAAAATCATGCAATTTGCATTTTCATAAACCTCACTGTAAGACAACGTGACTGGCGGTACGCCAGGGTTTTGTGAGTAAGATCGATAGCGGTATTCTTCGCGGGGGCATTTACGACTGATTACGTTCGGTAGTCCCCCTCCAACCTAACATGAAGAGCCTACCCGTTACACAACTGCGTCAAATTGCAGTAATGTCGTTTTAACGGTTAACATACAGATGCGTGTACGTACAAGCTTGTTGAGACAGTGTTTAGTGCCCGGCTGAAGTATTGCGCATTGGCAACAGTCTACTGACTTGGTGAGTGTTACTGTTGTGCTGCTGTGTTGTTCCTGTGTTGTTACTTTGTAAGTAGTTTACGTCATCAATGTTACATTTCTGTGTATAAGACGAAAGAATTGGGTTGTAATTTATATAATGGGGCATTTGTTATTACAAATACCGTCACGACATGACACTTTGAAGTTTCAAACTTGAAGTGAGTTTACTCGTATTCGATAGTTTAACCTTTCCATAATATGTACAGTAAACCAGTCCCACCCAGTCCCATGATATAAATCATGCACCAGTGCTATGATATATATTGTGTATCAGCCATGACATATATATCGTACATCAGTGCTCTTAAATATTGAGCATATGTCCTATGATATATATTGTACACCAGTCCTAAGATATATATCGTACATCAGTGTTATTTTATATTGTACAACTGTCCTATGATATATATTGTAAACGAGTCCTAAGATATATATCGTACATCAGTGCTAATATATATTGTACATATGTCCTATGATATATATTGTACACCAGTCCTATGATATATATTGTACACCAGTCCTGTGACATATATTGTACACCAGTCCTGTGACATATATTGTACATTAGTCCTATGATATATATTGTACACCAGTCCTATGATATATATTGTACTCCAGTCCTATAACATATATTGTACACCAGTCCTATGATATATATTGTACACCGGTCCCATGATATATATATTGTACACCAGTCCTATGAATATATTGCACACCAGTCCTATGATATATATATTGTACACCAGTCCTATGATATATATTGCACACCAGTCCTATGATATATATTGTACACCAGTCCTATGATATATATTGTACACCAGTCCTATGATATATATTGCACACCAGTCCTATGATATATATTGTACACCAGTCCTATGATATATATTGTACACCAGTCCTATGATATACATTGTACACCAGTCCTATGATATATATTGCACACCAGTCCTATGATATATACTGTACATTAGTCCTATGCCATATATTGTACTCCAGTCCTATGATATATATTGTACTTCAGTCCTATGATATATATTGTACACCAGTCCTATGATATATATTGTACACCAGTCCTATGATATATATTGTACATTAGTCCTATGGTTAGTCCTATAAATCCTGTATGTATAGAAAATATACCTTATTACATGTATAGTCACGATATGGCTGAAATATTGCCGATGTGACGTAAAGCATAAAGTCACTCACTCACTCACTATGACATGTATTGTTACTAAATCCTATTTTATTCATTGCAAAAAATGAAATCCTATGATATGCATAAAAATGTATTTGTATTGTAAATAAACCACATGATATGTATAGAAAATATATTTCATGACATGAATTGTAAATAAAACATGTGGTCTTTGTATTGTAAATAAATCCTAAGATATGTATAATAGATATGACCAGAATGTCTATCGAAAAATAGACCTTATTTTTTTCTGTTGGAAATAAACCCTCTGATAGGTATTGTAAAATGGTAACAAATTCTATTATATGTACAGAAAATACATCCAATGGCATGTATTATAAGATAACAATATTAGCCTAACATCATCTATTTCCATTTAATATCTGAGCAGCGTTTATCAAACTCACACTCTGTTGTTTTCAATTTCGTTATTGTGACCAATTATCCTTGGTCCTATTTTAGATGTACAATTTCGTTATTTCAACCGATACTCAATACAATTTCAGCACAGCACACGTGACAGTTGCACCATGGGTAACATTGATTCGGCGCTCCCTGTCTTGGAGGTAGAGAAAAAGTAAGTGACATTAATGTTTCTGATTATTCCTCGTTTGATGTATTGTTGTGATTCCCTTTAAAAATTCAAAGAGCGTCATACGACTCTTGCCCCAAAGTGTTCCATCCGGGTTACAGCCAATGGATGTGAGTTGGATTTTACGCCGCTTTTAACAGTATTCCAGTTATATCACGGCGTGTCAGCTTAATGTGGGAGGAAAGCCCGAAGTGATGCAGGTCTCAGACGTTTACCACTTCGGTGAAACCCACGAGCACGGGTATGGTGCTGACAAACCTAGAAACGTAATCAGGGCGAACCGGGATTCGAACCCACAATCATAGGTTTCTGGCGTGCCCAAGGGACGCAACTCTGCACAGCGAATCGCGGCGCCTTAGACGACTGGGCCACCCGTGATCCCCTACAGCCAATGGAAACATATGGAGGACATTTCCAAATTTGACGCACCAGTGACAAAGATGATGTTCGATGCAATTCATTTGACATGTACCATACCTTCAAGAGTTTATTCAGGTGAACAATTAACTTGCCTTTGCATGTGTTTGTAACGTGTAGTACTGGTGGGGAAGGATACGCTCACCTCGCAAACTCCTCGTATCATCACTATTTGATAGTGAATCATCAAAACATGCTTATGGCGTAGTCGGAATGGTACAAAGGCCCCAGCAGGAATGTCTTGTGATCAGGGAAAGTTTTTCGTCAGTTTTATTCATTCTGCTGACCACCTTTGTTTTCCTGGTGCATTCGGTTAGTTTTGTTTGTTTGTTGATTAACGCAGCGCTCAGCAATATATCAGCTACGGCGGTCTGTAAATAATCGAGTCTGGACCAGACAATCCAATGACTGATGTCATGAGCATCGATCCACGCAATTGGGATACGATGACATGCACCAACCAAGTCAGCGAACCTGACCACCCGATCCCGATCCTGATAGTCGCCTATTACAGCAAGCATGGGTATTCTGGCAAAAGAGTCAAAGTAACTCTCAAGCACATCAGCTATTTTGTCCCAGGGTCAGACATTACATCACTTAGCAGTCTGTGAACCTCGGCCTGGAACACCAAGTTCAAGGTGGCCAGCTTTTGACGATTTGTGTGCAGTAGAAAGCATGCGCGCTTGATGGTCTGATTTGTATACAGGCTGACGTCACAGGGCAGGAGTACTGCTGTTCTGCGTCAGGCAATAAATACTTACTTTTTTATGCACATTGTGTGAATGGCGGACGCTGCCGGTAGGGCAGGACAAGCTTACCCTTTTCGCGATCACCTGGTGTCATGCATGATTTTCAGTGATCCATTCATATAATTTCCACAGCTATTTGCTCTTTACGCCAAATGGAATCTGTTTCGGCAGAAATTCTGGGATGGTTATTCTCTTGCATTGACAGGGGGCACTCTGTGCAGAGTTGCGTCCCTTGGATACGCCAGAAACCTATGATTGCGGGTTCGAATGCCAGTTCGCCCCGATTATGTTTCTAGGTTTGTCAGCACCATACCCGTGCTCGTGGGTTTCACCGAAGTGGTAAACGTCTGAGACCTGCATCGCTTCGGGTTTTCCTCCCACATTAAGCTGACACGCCGCGATATAACTGGAATATTGTTAAAAGCGGCGTTAAACACAACTCACTCACTCACTCACTTGCATTGACAATTTATATTTACATGTTGTGGTAGGTAGCTTGTCGGCATGTAGAGTCACTATGACAGCAAGGTATCAGACAGACTTGTGGGTTGAATCGCATAATGTTTTTCACCATGTCGGGACAAGCCCGACTGCTTTGCCACTGCTTCAGAAAGTTAGCATATTCCGCACACAGGGGTACTGTTGGAGTAAGTGTGATCGCTTCGAGTTCTGGGGATGGCTGATGTCTGTGTTTGAGTAAGTGTGATCGCTTCGAGTTCTGGGGATGGCTGATGTCTGTGTTGGAGTAAGTGTGATCGCTTCGAGTTCTGGGGATGGCTGATGTCTGTGTTGGAGTAGGTGTGATCGCTTCGAGCTCTGGGGATGGCAAATGTCTGTGTTGAAGTAAGTGTGATCGCTTCGAGCTCTGGGGATGGCAAATGTCTGTGTTGAAGTAGGTGTGATCGCTTCGAGCTCTGGGGAAGGCTAATGTCTGTGTTAAAGTAAGTGTGATCGCTTCGAGCTCTGGTAAAGGCTAATGTCTGTGTTGAAGTAGGTGTGATCGCTTCGAGCTCTGGGGAAGGCTAATGTCTGTGTTACAGTAAGTGTGATCGCTTCGAGCTCTGGGGAAGGCTAATGTCTGTGTTAAAGTAAGTGTGATCGCTTCGAGCTCTGGGGATGGCAAATGTCTGTGTTAAAGTAAGTGTGATCGCTTCGAGCTCTGGGGAAGGCTAATGTCTGTGTTAAAGTAAGTGTGATCGCTTCGAGCTCTGGGGAAGGCTAATGTCTGTGTTAAAGTAAGTGTGATCGCTTCGAGTTCTGGGGATGGCAAATGTCTGTGTTAAAGTAAGTGTGATCGCTTCGAGCTCTGGGGATGGCTAATGTCTGTGTTGGAGTAAGTGTGATCGCTTCGAGCTCTGGGGATGGCTGATGTCTGTGTTGGAGTAAGTGTGATCGCTTCGAGCTCTGGGGATGGCTAATGTCTGTGTTGAAGTAGGTGTGATCGCTTCGAGCTCTGGGGATTGCTAATGTCTGTGTTGATTTTACTGAAGGTATATTTTGGACAAGAATCTGATGCAAAATTATATAAGGTATTTATTACACAATTATACCAAACGCTCTTTATGTAATATGATGTAGAATGGGGAAAGTATTTGAAAGTTCCTCATCGTAGATGGTGGGTACTGGATTTGACTCTTCTCTAACACGGGTCTTCAGGTTGGCAATATCATTGTCAACTTGCAACTTTGCTTCCAAGTTTGCAGTTCTGTGATTTGTGATTTGTATTAAGTGAGTGAGTTTTATTTTACGTCAGTTTTAGCAATATTCCAGCAAAATCCCGGCTTCACACATTGTACCCAAGTCGGGAATAGAACCCGGGTCTCAGGCGTGACGAGCGAACGCTTTAACCACAAGGCTACCTGACCGCCCGATTTGTATTAAGTCAGTTGATGGGAGACAGCCCTACTGTGAAGCCTCATCCCATATAGTCGGTCCTCCTGACACATGTTTATTCAACGAAACAGACAAGCAGTTGCATAGGCATATTCAATTTAATATATTGGCTTGTTTCAACGAACGTAATATATGTGATTGTTTGGTTGCATTTCCAGCGTAAACAAAAGAACAGTAATCTTGTGATCTAAATATAAACGAAAGAATTGATATATGGCTACACTGAAATTGCATCACAAATCAAAACTATTGCGAACTATTATGACGTTGTTGGTTACATGACAAACCAATTACATGTCATATGGCATCGTTATCTCTCTGCCACTGAAGCTGGTTGGTAATTCTTATGAATATGTTTACACATGAAGACACTGGTTATTGCTGTTTACAAACTGAAATCGTACAATCGACTCTGATTTAGGAGAGATTTCTTATAAATATGGAAGGGTTTTGTCGCTTTGATTTGGATGATTTATAGAATATCCCTCTCGTGTCTGTTGGTGTGTCAAATCTATCAAACTCTTCGATATAATATTTGATATTAAAAGACACGAAGGTGATATTCTCTATATCACTGAACGAGTCCTTTTTACACTAAAATAACTACACAGCCCTAGCCTGTGTACCGCCTGTGATCTTTTTGTATTGTCACCATGGCGTCATATCTGATCGAAGCATTTCTCAATACTACCAGTCAACCGGTGGGTCTTTTGTACAGTAAAGGCATCCTATTTTGTTAGCTATGTCCTCAAGTTACTGGCTAACTGTACACTGCGCCTCTGATATTCCAAGTGGCCATGTTTAACTTGACTATTGTTATTAACAATCCATACATGTTTATTGTTACTTGTTTCCACCATGCCGCGGGAAGGGCACCCCTTCAGGGCATTTTACTATCAGAGGCAAAACATGTTCCGATTCAAGAAGTTTATGTGCTGTTCCAGTGTCAATGTTGGTTCGCCATGTATATGTTACTAGCATTGTTCCAGTGTCAATGTTGGTTCGCCATGTATATGTTGCTAGCATTGTTCCAGGGCCAATGATGGTTCTCCATTTATATGTTGCTAGCATTGTTCCAGTGTCAATGTTGGTTCGCCATCTATATGTTGCTAGCATTGTTCCAGTGTCAGTGTTGGTTCGCCATGTATATGTTGCTAACATTGTTCCAGCGTCAATGTTGGTTCACCATGTATGTGTTGCTAGCATTGTTTCAGTGTCAGTGTTGGTTCGACATGAATATGTTGCTAGCATTGTTTCAGTGTCAGTGTTGGTTCGCCATGTATAGGTTGCTAGCATTGTTCCAGTGTCAATGTTGGTTCGCCATGTATATGTTGCTAGCATTGTTCCAGTGTCAATGTTGGTTCGCCATGTATATGTTGCTAGCATTGTTCCAGTGTCAGTGTTGGTTCGCCATGTATATGTTGCTAACATTGTTCCAGCGTCAATGTTGGTTCACCATGTATGTGTTGCTAGCATTGTTTCAGTGTCAGTGTTGGTTCGACATGTATATGTTGCTAGCATTGTTTCAGGGTCAGTGTTGGTTCGCCATGTATAGGTTGCTAGCATTGTTCCAGTGTCAATGTTGGTTTGCCATGTATATGTTGCTAGCATTGTTCCAGTGGCAGTGTTGGTTCGCCATGTTTATGTTGCTAGCATTGTTTCAGTGTCAGTGTTGGTTCGCCATGTATATGTTGCTAGCATTGTTCCAGCGTCAGTGTTGGTTCGCCATGTATATGTTGCTAGCATCGTTCCAGTGTCAGTGTTGGTTCGCCATGTATGTGTTGCTAGCATTGTTTCAGTGTCAGTGTTGGTTCGACATGAATATGTTGCTAGCATTGTTTCAGTGTCAGTGTTGGTTCGCCATGTATAGGTTGCTAGCATTGTTCCAGTGTCAATGTTGGTTCGCCATGTATATGTTGCTAGCAT